AGAGAATTATTTTGGAGAGCTCTTGAAAAGAAAGGAGTTAATAATACTTATATTCATATCTTTAAGGATATGTATGCTGGTGCTGTTACTTGTGTTCAAACATACGGTGGTTTGATCAAACATTTTCCTATTTCATTCGGATTACACCAAAGATTAGCTTCACATACCTTTTGCTTCAATCATGGATATTTTTACTAGATATTTGCAAAAGGTTGTACCTTGGTGTATGCTTTTTTTTGATGATATTCCTCTTGTTGATAAGACTAGGAGTTGAAGTAAAATTTTGAATTATGGAGGTCAACTTTATATTCTAAAAGTTTTCATTTGAGTAGATCTAAAACTAAATACATGGAGTGTAATTTTAGTAGTAATAGATCTTTGAGACTATGACAATGGGTGATCAAGTTATTAAAACGAGTGCACATTTTAGATATCTCAGATATATTGTTCAAAGTGATAGTTAAATAGATAGGGATATTACTAAATATTAGTAGAATTCAAGTTGGATGGTTGAAGTGGTGGAATGCATCTGACCCATTGTGTGATAGAAAAGTACCACTCAAACTTAAGGAAAAAATTTATAATATGGTGGCAAGTCCTACAATGTTTGATGGCGCAGAATATTGGCCATTAAATGAGACGCTTAAAATAAGTGTTGCAAAGATGAGTATGCTCAGATGGATGAGTGACTTTACACTTAGAGATAAAATGTGAAACAAGTATATGCATGAAAAGATTAGAGTAGCTCTAGTGACAGATAAGATTAGTGAGAGTCGCCTTAGATGTATTATATCTGGCCTATGTTAAGAAAAGTAGATGTAGACCTGAAAATATATGATTAGAAAGTATTAGAAATGACATTCTGTATTATATTTAAATAAGAATTTTGCTCTTAATAGGACACAATGGAGAAAAAGGATTCATGTTGCCAGCCCGACGTAGTTGGATAAAGGCTTGTTGTTGTTGCATCATTCTAGTTCTTTTATTATTTAATTTTTAATAAGTTTAAGTATTTTATCTTATTTTATAGGATCTTTTATTATAAAAGAGGTCTAAGGGTCATGTAATAGAGAACATTATTAGTGGAATTTAATGATGCTTAACTTATGTTTTCATTCTATGCTGTGCTCAATGTTATTCTCTTCTGCTTTTCTCTCTCTCTCTCTCTCTCTCTCTCTCTCTCTCTCTCTCCCTTTTTTGTCTTCTGCCTCCAACTATTCAAGGCTTATATAAATCTCCTGTTGCATCTCCTGCATCATATTTAATATTATCATGTGGATCATTGAAATAAATGTTAACCTTATTCTGTTATTTGATATGATCTTTTATTAGTTGATAAAAAAAAATTGGGTTTGTAATATATATATATATATATATAAAGGCCTAAGGTTATGTAAATGGACATCATGATTATTGGAATGAAATGATGTTTACCTACATCTCTTTCCTTGGTCGTGTTCCCTCTTATTTTCTTTTCTCATCTTTCCTTTTTTTTTTCTCTTTTTTGCCTTCAGCTATTCAGGGCTTTTACAGATGTCCCGCTGCATCTCTCCGCATCACTTTTAATATTATCATACAGACATTGCAATAGATCTTAGGCGTGTACTTTCCCTTACATAATTTTCTGACATCTATGTTTCTTAATTTTATGCACGCATCATTGTATTGTTTTTCATCTGAATGTAATTTCCGCAATTGTTGAATTTAAATTTAACTGCTTAACAGATGCAGCATATCAATTTCTGTCCATCATAAATATTTCTTACGAATTTTCAGAATTTCATATTTAATTCTTAAATAAAAGTATAAAGCCTTACTCGAATTAGATATTTTACCTTGGCAGTCCATATCTAAGCGTGAAGCTGAAGAAAGATTAAGTGAGGTAAGATTTGCAACCTACAATATTATTTTTATTCTTATATTAGTCACCTCTTCTTTGATAACTGTGGAAGAAACACGCTATCTGTTTTTTATTCAAATGCATTTGATGGGGGTTATTTTTAGCCAACAGGGTCTTAAGAAGCTCGAAGAAGTTTTCAAACTTGAAAAAAATGCTGTTGACAATTTATTACATGTGGCAAAGGTAGCACATCGCCCTAAACAGTTTTTTTTTCTTTTGTTATGATAGCATGTGCATTTGTAACTGATGGGGACATCAGATCATCATGGAAAGTTTACTAGCAACGTGGCCGCCGATCTACGGCCACGATCCCCACATGAATCCATAAGCATGTCATCTAAGCAGTCCTGCATCAGTAACTCAATTATTCAAATAATCTTAACTTTCATCCCAAATTTACATCATCCCCCAAATGATGATGCGTTTTTAATTTTCCTTTTTTCTTATTTACATGTTGAGAAATATAATATCAGCTTAAAATCCAGTTAAACTTTTGCTCTTGAGGCTTCAGAAAGATAGCACTCCATTATTTATATTTAGTGATTTTAGGTAGTGAAAGAATGCTACTGCCTAATCCTGAAATGCTTCATCTATCAGTGAAAACGATTTGGAACAGTTGATTTATATACAACAGTTTTGACCTTTTTTATTTTATTTTTGTTTGTATTTTTGTTGTGTGCACTACCGTCTAGATGTATGTGCTCTAAACTCTGGATTTGAGATGTTCCTTTTGTCTGGGTGTTTTAATTTTTTCTATGTACTGATATGCATTTATAGAATTATGTTTCCATCCCTTTTGTTATTATTATGAATTTTGTGTACTTGTATCGATAGTTATCGTTCAATACTAATGTAATAAATGTGCTTTTTCAGTTTTGGCAAGTGATAACTTACATGTACTAAAATCCTGGTAGTTCAGGCTGACTCCTGATCTAATAAGTAATTGCTTAAGGAGATACATATCAACATCATCATTAACTTTATCCCAATTATCTGAGATCTACTTTAGGAATAATCATTTTCTCTTCATAAATTTTAAGTGTTATCTTAGAAGTTAAATCTATTATTCCCAAATCATTGTGAATAACTTCATGTAATCTTAGGTTTGTCCCTTTTCTTCCTTAATCCTACTTTCTATCCGTTGCACATGTCCAATGTAACACCATGCAATACTCCTTAACAATATTGTAGAGTGCCACACCAAGAAACATAGCATTTTTCAACATTTAACATATGATATTTTTCATCATTTGAATATTTATATAGAACATCCAACAAAATTACTTTTACGATATAAACATAAGCATCTAATAAATCAAATTACATCAAATAAATACTTACAGAGCCACTAATATAATCCAAAAATATTTTAGCCCTGAATTGTTTATATACCTCAAATGTAGACTAAACATTAACATATAAAATAAAATAATTTGTAGTTTATTATGCATCAAACTTTTCCTTTCCTTTACCTGTAACAATAACCAATATGAAATAACTGGTGAGCTATGAGGATCAATAAGTGATACAAATTAAATAGCAGTTAAATTGCATGATTATAAAAATTCACCACATTGAATCATAAATTAAATAAACTTGATGTTATTTATAATATATCATAAAATCATAGTTGACATTAACATTTACTTTCTTTGAAGTCGATACTGAATCTCAATATTATCATTTTAAAAATTTGGCTAAACTTTCATTAGCATGTTCAATGGAGCCCAGGTAAACTTGACATTATCTCCATTGAACAACTTAGAGGTCCCTTTTGACTTTTTAGGGGACATTTTGCCTCACCTACTAAGCATGTATCATCTCTTTGGGGTCTCTTTTGCCCCACTTAAGATGCAATGTTATACATGGGGACCTTTTTGCCCCACCTGCAATTATAAGTTTTACATCATTTTATAGCTAAATTTTACTAATTTGATATTTAGTATTGTTGCAGACTAGAATATTCACGGTGATAGAGTGAGTAAACTTTTCGTCTTATCAATGTATTTATATCCAACACACAAATAGAGAGAGATAAGTAAAACATCCAATCTTTTTTACGTTGAAAGTTCAAAGAGGGAAAAATTACGGGGCCTCGTCCATGTAAACAGATTACACTAAATTTGAGTGAATTACAAAGGTTGATCAGTTCCTTGACTTGGAGGCGGTTAAATTACAGTAGTTTGGAGAGTTAGGCAAAGATCTTGCGACGGTCGGGCAGAAGTCCCACGACATCTTGGCAGAAGTTCAGCTGACGGGGAATGACCCGACGAAGGTCGGGCGGAAGACTGGCAACGCTCGGCTGTTGGGTGGAATTCTGGAAGCAGTCAGTGGTATGACAGTGATTCGATGATGGTCAGGGCGAAATCCGGGTATGGCCGGGTGTAAGTCCAGCGACAGTTAGCGGACTAGTGGAAGTATGGCGGCAGTCGGCGACCGGATGGAAGTTTGGCAGCGACGACAGTTGATGGGGGTGGAAGTCCGGCGGTGATCGGTGGCCAGGTGGAAGTTTTGCGGCAGCCGGGCGGTGGTCTGACGACGGTATGGCTGAAGTCCAGCGATGTTCGGTGGCCGGGTGAAAGTTCGACTGCGGTCGGCGACCGGGTGGAAGTTTGGCGGCGGTTAGCGACTAGGCGATGGTTCGACGATGGCCGGGCTGAAGTCCGTCGGCGGTCGGGTGGAAGTCCGGCTGCGGTCGGCGACCGGGCGGTGGTCCGACAACGGTCAGGCTAAAGTCCGGCGGCAGTCGGAGGCCGGGCAGAAGTCCGTTGGCTGTCGGCGGCTGGGCGGTGGTCTGATGATGGTCGGGTTGAAGTCCGGCGGTGTTGATCGACGATCGAGCGGTGGTCCGACAGCAGTTGATCGACGATCGAGCGGTGGTTCGACAGCAGTTGATCGGGGTTCGCCGGCGGTGGTGCTGGAGCTCTTGAAGCCTCAGCGCTCTCTCCAATCTCTAGCAAAAGGTTCCCTTCATGTAGAGAGTGAGGGTCTATTTATAGATTTTCATGAGTGACACATCCCGTAAATATAGAGAAGAGCCAGGGCAGGTTTGGAGTGCTCCGTCGAATGACTCGTATTGATTTCTTCAATCATAGAGAGTTTTTCAACTGTTTAAGTGCCTTATCGATGTCGGAATAGGGTCTATTTATAGATTTTCATGAGTGACACATCCCGTAAATATAGAGAAGAGCCAGGGCAGGTTTGGAGTGCTCCGTCGAATGACTCGTATTGATTTCTTCAATCATAGAGAGTTTTTCAACTGTTTAAGTGTTTTATCGATGTAGGAATTCAGCGATATTAGGCTCGTTGGATTCTTCTCGCCAAGCCGCTCAATTTGACTATAAGCATGCTATATTTGAATATCATTTTGTCATCCAAATATTGCTTTGATCATTCCAAATGTGATTCGAGCCCTCAATTTTGACCCATTTGGGCTCCGGTTGGACCGATTTCAGTGTCCTTAGGTTCGTTTCTTTGAGACGTGTAGTTTGACTATAAGTTTGCTGAAATTGGAATTCATATGATCCCAAATTTAATTTTGAAAATTTTCAACTTGAATATGCCTTGAGATTCATGCATGATCAAGACGATTTTTGGTGACGTATCAAGTATAATTCATATATTCATAATTCATACATTCTTATTATTGTTATAGACATTCTATAATTTTTATAACCATATATCTATTACATAAAAAGAATCTATATGCAATATCTTAAGAATTGAACTTTTTTTCAAAATCTTACAAACTAAGAAAATATTTAAACAATCATTTAACAACTTAATTTAAATCTGCATCATTCCACTTCACAAGTGGTTGCTTGATTATTAACATGCATAATATTAAATCATATATTTTAATAACTATCTTTCCAAATTGTCATTCAAAATCATTGTACTTTTGTCTCTAATGATAATATATACTTTTTACTTAAAAATTTACAATACTTACCTCCTTGAAAATTTTCTCCTCAATTCCTCCACCACGCACTCATCTTCGATTGTAAGTAACCTACAATCATTTCTTTTACGTTTCATATATTCCACAATCTATTGCTTAATTAATTTTTCATAACATTAACTTATATTATATATGCAGAAAGGAGGTTTTGAGGTAAATATCAAACGTTTGTTGGCCTTTCTCTTACTTAATACTATAATCTCAGCTTGGCATATCAAATGTATCGATTGCCCTCTCATGTTGGATCATGCCCGAGAAGATAAATTTTAACCAATTGAGATAGCCATTACAAACAAAAATGTTTCATCCTACTATTGTTTAAACTCATCAGATTTCTTGAGTAGGTAGTCTGATTTTAATATTTTAGCAGGTTGGTTCACTTCGTTGTATTTTAGTTTTGGAGATTTTTCATGTTTGGTTCTTACTTTCTACTTGAGAAAAATTTCATCTTCAAAATTTGTTAAGATGTAGAGATTGTAGTTGTGTATGTTGGCTTCCATTTCTTAGCTGGCTTCTTGTTAGATTTGATTCTTCCATTAGACTTTTACTATTTAGGTTCTTTTATCTATAGTGTCTTGTGTTGTTTGGCTAGGATTTTGTTAGGTACCTCCTCATAGCCGAGCTCAGGTTGGAATTGTAACTCAACAATAACAACAAAGTCTTTGTTCCACTATGTGGGGTTTGTTACATGAATCATTTTTCTCCATTGTGTCATGTTAAGAGTCAAATTCTCATTTTATTCTAATAAAGAAAGGTCATTTATAATATTTTATGACCAAGTCTTTTTAGGTCTACCTTTACCTTTCTTAACACATGCCAAATCTAATACATCTACTCTCCTAGCCAGGTCATCGGAAGGCCGCCATTTTATGCGACCATATGCATCCACCTGAGCATTGTCATCTCTACAACACTTATTTATGCTTCTCTTTTAATGGCCAACATTCTACGCCATAAAACATTGTAGGTCTCACCACAATCTTATAGAATTTTCCCTTTAGTTTGAGGGAGACTTTCCAATCACACAACAAGCTCGACGCATTCGTCCACTTTAACCATCCAACTTGAATTATACTAATAATATCCCTCAAATTTGAGGGGAATTCTACCTTGTTGGGATCATATTCAAGAATGTTTCAGGTCTCACATGTACTTATTAAAAATTTGAGACAAAATATATTGTGCACTTTTGACATAATAGGCAACAATTGTAATTGGTATAATATGTCCTATTGCCTCATCAACTTTGAAAGCCTTATTTATCGTGGTTTAAGCTTGTTAGGTTGACTAAAACTCTTGAATCTGTGCATGGGACTTACCTGTAGGAAAATCTTAATTTTTAACTAGACACTTTGATTCTGAGTCATAGTTTTTCTTGTTTCGGTGTTGTGCTATCAAGTATCTTTTTCCTGATCACCTTGATATTCTTTGTGCACTCATCTGCCAACTTTGGTCTAATTGCTACTCTCTTTCCATCTATACGAAGCTCAGTATAGCGTCATGTACGTGCTAGAATGATAGTTGTTGTTGAAGCCTTGAAGGCAAACTTCAATAAGGAAAAGGGTCACTCCAAGTTGCTGTCAATGTGACCACTTATTTTAAGTAAATTCTCTAACGTTTGAATTATCTTCTTTGACTGTTTGCCAATTTGGTGGTGGAACGCTATGCTGAAGTCTCCATAATGCCTTGTAGTTGTCTCATGAACGAGCATTGAATCACACGTTGGAATGGCTTGCAGTTAGCGACTAGAAAAAGCTGGCACGAGCTCAGGCTTGAGGTAGATGACATGTTGGAAGATGCCTAAGAGCACGAGGTGATCAATGTAGAATTTGGATGGGTTTATGGATGGATGGTTATAGGATTTCTTAGTTTATGGGTTTCAAATAAGGATGCTAGGAAATTGCTGCATCTAACTTTATTATCAATTTGATGGGGGTGAGACGATGAATGGAGAACAAAAGAGAAACTTTGCTTACACAACTTAGAAATGTGCCTACATAACTTGAATAAAAAGGGAATACCCAAATAGGCCTTAAGAATAATTTCATTCTTGTGACATTAATCTCTAAAATTCTGATTGCATCCATCTTTATTTATAGAAATAAAGTTTAAAAAAGAGAAAAATATTTTGAAATCAAAGGTAATATATCTAAATTAAATTTATTCCTGCAAGTTTTCAAATTCAAACATAATATTATGAAAAAGTTATTATTCAACTAATAAAATATTAAAAAAAAAGAAATGGAATTTGGTGAAAATTAAAAATTAGCCTAAAAAGGTCTGAAAATTGGCGGGCTAAACCCCAATTGTAGCCTGATTTTACTCATTGTAAATGCCTTGTGAGAAATTAGGATTTGTGGCCCAATTTGATTGAACTATATTGCACCACTTTCTTTGGGTTTCATATATAGCAGTTCATTTGCATATTTTTATATTTTCATATTAATCTTGTATCCAAATCAATAATGGATGATTAACTCATATCAATTATTGATGGACGATAACAAGGATATGTATTTAAAATAGAAATAAAGAACAGAATTCCTTGTTCAAGTGAGAGACTAGAATAATTTTAGAAGGGACTCTTTTTTTCCATGCTGTACATGCATGATGCTTGCTTATTCGATGATTAATTTCCTTTTGCTTTTCTTTTCTTTCTTCTTCATTTTTTTGTTGATTGAAAGTGAGATTGTGTTTACTTGGATCCATTACAACTTGAATTTTGGTCAATCTTATAAAGTTTCAAGTCACTTTCAACTATATGTGCGACTATCCTGATACTTTAGCCGTTATTTTTTAATAGAAACCCATAGGTTTTTCTTCTAAATTGACTTATATCATTTTCTATTTATCATCAACGGTTGTCAATAGTTGTCTGGGCTTAATAATTTATCTTGTGAAATTTGCATGTTATTTGCATTGCCTGCGACAGTGCATTTTACATCTACTTAAAAAACCATATTATCTATGAAGCCCTACATTACTAGCACGCAATTTTGATTTTTCAATGAGCGTGCAAAAGAACATCCTTAACTGCATGTTCACCTCTGCACGACTTTCATGGTTATGGGCTATGCACTTACAAAATTCGTTTGTCCGTCTGCATGAAAAGTGTGGCTAGTTTACTTCCTAAGGATCAGCTTTAGAAAAATGATAAATGAAGCCTTGATTAATCATTGGAAACCAGGTTTTGAAAGAATTCTTTATGTGGTTTATACATTATGTTTGAAATTTTCAGTGTTATGGTTGGTCATAGAGAATTTCAATCGCAGCAATTATTAGTTTCAACATTTTATTATTTGATCTGATTTTGGATAGACGTTCAAGTAGTTAAAAGAGTTAGATTCCTGGACTAACCTAATACTTTGAATGGATTAATTTATGGAACTTGGAAGGTGCTACGTGCCATGCCTGTGGTGGACCTAAAGATACCAACTCTTTGCCTTGTTGGAGCACCCAATGTGGGGAAATCTTCCCTAGTTCGCATACTTTCGACAGGAAAACCAGAGGTAAATTTTCTTCCTTAAGCATTAACTGCTTATACTTCTTTATATGCTTTCCGTGATTCTTCTCAATTGTTACGTGAATATTAATGTCATGTGGCAGCCCGGAGGCTCTAATTAATAAAGCTGGAATAGATGTCAGACAGTTATTTAATTTTTTTTTTCCACTAAAAATTCTAAAAGCAACCATCTCGAATACACTGAAAGAGCTGTTAAATTAAAAATATATTTTAAAGCGAACGCTGTAAATATTTCAAATAAAGACCTTTCTCTCAGACGTTCTCTCATACTCCACTCGTTTACACAATTAGGATAATACATGTGTACATTTGTAAATATGGAGTGAGTCATAACACAACTCAGTGATTAAGTTATGATTCTAAATTATAGTAATACACGGTATTTTGAATGATATGCATGCTTTATAAAGCATAAAGCAAATTTGTTTAAAATTTATTTTGAAAATGACAATCAATGTTATGCATATATATACATGTCACATATATATTATCTTTATCATTTTTTGTAAATAATATAACTGTCATAGGAGACATCATCTAAACTATTACTAATGAAGGTACTTCCTTTTTCATTTACTTTTTCTATTTTTTTTTATTTCATGTGCATGAGTATATTGCATCTCCAGTCAATACCATAAGATGATGTACTCCATCAATCATGCACATGCAAACATTTCTACTTGATTACTTTATTTGCATGCTCTTTATCATTTCATATTATTTAATAATGAACAATATATGACTAGCACTAAATTATATAAGTTTATGTCGTCAAGCTCAACATGATCAAAGGATGTGAGTCAAGCCGACTCATGAGTCAGCTTGGGCTCGGTTCGATAAATGGCTCGTGAGCCAATTTTGTGAGCTAATGAGCCAAGCTTGAGTCAGCCCTGAATCGACTAGTTAGCTCGCGAACTGGCTCATTTAAAAAATATCAATATAAAATATACTTAAAATATATTAGGATTTAAGATTTTAAGTATAAAATTATTTAAAAATTTATATTCATTTCTTTATAAGAAGTGATTCTTTATTTTTTTAAAAAATATTTTCTTTTTTTTTACCATTTTATTATAATAATTGTTTAAATCATAATCATTTTCTCTTTCAAAATAAATGATCTAGCTCATGAGCCTGCTCGAACTCATTGAATAAAGCTCGAGCTCGAGCTCGAGCTCGAGCTCGAACTTGATTAATTAATTAAGCTCAAGCTCAAGCCAGGGGTGACTTGAGCTTGGCTCGACTTCCTCAATTGCATTTAACATATAAAATATATAAGCAATTTGTAATAATGGTTAGCAATTAAATGCATTTAGAAGAAGCAAGACCATTATTTGTATATAATCATTTCATATCATTCAAGATGAATTATCATGTTTACTATTAAACTTCAATATGACCAATCATCGAAATAAAAGAGATAATTAATATTGGAATTTTTGCAATATTAGTTAATTAATAAATGTCGATTCAATCAGATTGGAAATAACAACATTATTACGTTAAGAATAGGAACATGACACCTTGATTTAAATACTTTTTTGCCCTTTTGCCCTTTTTTCCCTTTGACATCGCTAGTCGAGCACCTTTAATTATGCATAATTTTATAAGATTATTTTAACTCATATATCTAATAATATATCGCTCTAATTAGTTACTAATTGTTACTAAATAACTCTCATTTTCTATTAAAATATCATTAATATATTCATTTTCTTTTTTATTATATATAATGATTTAATTTAAGAACAAAATCTCTTATGAATTAATTTACTCACTCACACACTCTCTCTCTCTCTCTATAAATAAATGAAAAAGGTTCATATTCCAATAATTATTATTTTCTAAAATGACATATTATTTTTTTATTACAAAATGAATATTGAATAATTCTTATTGTATATAATTTTATAATAAAATCTCGTCATTAAAAAATAATTCTCATTTATTTATATAAGTCATTCCTATTTGAACGAAATAACATTTGAATGATATTTTAAGTTTTATATTTTTTCTACTGAAATCAATTATAAAATTTTTAATATATATATATTGTGCATATGATAGATATTTTATTAATCAAATTTACAAACATTATAATATTCTTTTTCTTACTTCTTATCTAATAGAAATGTATCAAAAGTAACCTAACTAAATATTAATAGAGATGAACAAGATGGTCAAGAAATGTGTGGAGGAAGTGCAATTGTATGTATGAGGTGGATATAATATCAGAGATGAATAAGCTTCAATGTCTACTCGCATGTGGAGGACAATCAAGTATACTTAGGGGTGTAAACAAGTCGTGTTGAGTTGAGTTTCTACCTAATCAAGCTATGCATGTTTAGTTCTTATTGAGCTCAAGCTCTGCTTGTTAAAAATTTTATAGGCTCAAGCTCGTTTGAAAAGCTCGAGCTTGACTTGAGTGTGGATTTCGATTTCTTAATTTTAAATTAAAAATTTCAGTTTTTTTTAATAAAATTAATTTTAAAAGATTAAAATATATTATATAATATTAATTTAAATAAAATTTTAACAATATTTTAAGTTAATCTAGCAACTCAACGAGCTTACAAGCCGAGCCAAGCTGAGCTCGAGCTTGTTAATTATACAAGCTCAAGTATAAGCTTTAGTTTGTCATGGCTCCATAAGTTCGACTCGTGAACTTGTTAATGAGTTGAGTTTGAGCTGGCTCATCTCACTTATGCCCCTAAGTATACTATATAAACATTTGTAAATTGCTCTACTATTTTTAACTAATAAATTGGTTTATTTTTACACTTCAATATTGGTCAATAAAGCATTGCTGAGTTGAGTTGCAACACTTCGCTAAGGCTATGATTTGCAATAGCAATGCAAAAAGCTCTCTATGCAACACTCCACGATGAAGATAAGCATTTCACGTGCGCTTCAGTGTTGATAGCGTGCGCAGCTTACAAACTCAACCCGTGCCTCACCAGTTCAGCTATCTTTGTTTCACTACTTACTTAATTATTGGTCACCCGAAGTTGATAAAGTTAGCATCAATTCATGTGAGTATGAAGATCAAAATAATAAAAATATGATGTGAAACATATATGGGATAACATGAATTGCACGTTAGATATTAATGAGAGTTTAACTATGCAATGTTAACGATAAAATCTAGCTTACTCAAGTTGGATTTAAGAAAATTCGTGATAGATTAAGTTAATGGTATTGTTTACACTTGAGAATTACAAAAGCCTTGCAAAAGATAACCAAAGAAAATAGATAATGCAAATAGCTACTACTAAAGCCACACGTTTAAAATTTAGACCATTCACCTAGAGGTCCGGCAATCTTTCTTTGAAGTGGAGGCTAGCGGAAGAGAATCGCGAGCAAACTTAGCGATACCACCAAGACACATGTGACACCGAGAGGACTCGTCGCCGGGGAGGAAGCAGGAGTTGGAGAAGCGGGCGAACGACCTTGGATAATCCACTCGTAATCTGAAAGCTGTTCATCAATGGCGTCTACAAGGGTGGGGAGGATCCGATTCAAGTAGTCTTCCACGTTGGCGTCGAACCCAAATCCTACGTCGAAGAACGGCGATCTAAAAACGTGAATGTGGCCGTAGATGTCGAGTTCGATTCCGTAATCAATGGCGGGATCCGTCATACACCATGTATGAGGAGGCGAACAATCCTTCAAGATGCCAAGAGGGGAGAGAGGATCGGTTTGGAGAGGAGGGGAGGCCGGCGGTAGAGCAAGGGTGAGGGGAGGAGGGTTTTGTTTGAGAGCTGAAATTGATTACAGTTTAGGGAAAAATAGGAGGGAAATTACTTGAGATTTAAATTTGAAATCCCAAATTAAAGGAGAGTTAATGCCCACTTAATGGGAGAACCAATAGGGGCCGACGGTGGAGAGAGGGAAGGGAGAGGGAAATAAAACTGAAATTCAATTTCAGTTTTAGTATAATGGGGAAAATTTTATTTGAAATCAAATTAGGATTTCAAATTAGGGAGGAGGATTTAATTGCCTCCTTAATGGGAACAACAAAAAATGGGGGCCGGCGGGATGGCAAGAGAGAGAGAGAGGAATTTGTGGGAAGAGAAAAAGGAGTTTCCAACTTGGTTTGATGACGTGGCAAGGGATTTAAAAACTCCAAATTAGATTATTTTGAAATTGGTTTAATCATGAAAACTTTCCTAATTTGGATTTCCAAATTAGGAAATAATTCAAAATATGAATTTCAAATTTCAAATTTGAAATGGGTGGAGAAAAGGATTGACAGGATGGGAAGGGGCGTCGGCAAGGTGGGCGGCCGGAGGTTGTGAGCTTGGCTGGCGGCGGGAAGCCCTAGGGGGCCGGCGGCAGGAGCTATAGGGAAATTTATGTGGAGCTTTCTTGTGGGAGGGAGAAAAGTAAATAGATGAAAAGAAATGCTAGGGTTAGCAATTACTTAGAGAACTCACTAATAGATCTCAAGGAAGAACTCACTAAGAGATCTTCATGCACTCACAAAGAGAACATCAAAAAGAAATTTCATTCATCCAAAATAATAATCCAATACAATGCATAAGGCCTCATATAAATAGGCCGAAAAGAAAAGAAAAGAAAAATACACAAATGCCCTTCCAGGCTACATAAACGACTCAATGCCCACAGGGGCGAACTAGTAAAACAGAAAATACAATCATAAAAATAAAATGCACATAAATCAGAAGTAGAGGCTCTGAATCGTCGCCGTCGATCTGCGTTTTCGGCGATGGTACACGTGTCGAAATCTGATGTCCCCATCAAAATAGCTCTTGCCTTTCAGTCTCTTGATTTTCCTTTCTTTGCACTAACAGTTTTCCTGCCATGGGAGAAGGGTATTTAGGGTTTTATTTTTCTTCACGGTCAAAGTAATGGTCTGGAGATAAAAATATCAATACAAAGATTCCCATAAGTGGCTCATCTCTCTCAATATATGAACATGAATGGGTTAGAAACTCAATTAGTGTGGCAAATACTTCTTTTTCTTCTTTTTTGTTTGAGACAAGTTAACCCACGCCAATGGGCCCAATTTATCAAGTAAAAGCAAGGGGTAAAAAAAAACCACAAAACTGGCAGAAGAGAAGTAGGAATAAGCACCAAAAAGCAAGATAGTAAGGAAATACATTGAGGCAACTTGAAAATATAATGTGCAGAATTTTTTACTGCTTATATTCCTTAACTAGCATTTCCTTTAGTTTGGTTTACATAATTGATTTCAGGTTTGCAACTATCCTTTCACCACAAGGGGAATTCTGATGGGACACATCGTTGTAAACTATGAGCATTTTCAGGTTCTTGCACAGTCTTATTATTTTCATATCTCATAGACAGTAGTAATTGATTTGTAAATCCTTACTTATTACAGGTTACTGATACACCAGGTCTACTCAGAAGACATGATGGTAAGATATTATTTGACGTTGTAGTGATTAGTTTCCAATTATTTTTTTCCTTGTAAATTCGTAGAAAAGGATCAAGTTCGGTTTTCATTGAAAAAGTGGTGTTCGTTCTACTAGTTCTCCTATTGTCACTGAGTGTGATTACAGGGTACTGATATACCAGGTCTACTAAGAAATGATGGTAAGATATTATATGACGTTGTAGTGATTAGTTGCCAATAATTTTTATCCATTAAAATTCCTAAAAAACAATCAAGGTCGGTTTTCATGTAACGAGTGGTGTTCATTCTACTATTTCCTCCATTGTCCTTAGTGTGATCTTTAAGACCCTTGCAATGGTTTTGGGACTCATCTCAGATTTATGTCCGTTTGGTTTAATTTTATTTTATTTTTTCCACATGGGGACTTTTAAATAGTCTTCATGCTTTTATCAAGCTGAAGATACATGTGGGTGTATAAGAAACAAAATAACCAATTACATACAGGTGGCCACATTCCAAAATTTGAGCTGAGTTACTAAATTTTTTGGCTTCAAATTATTGCCAATTATGCTTTTTATAATAATAATTAGGAGTGTCAATATTTGACCAGACCCAAAAACCCGACCCGATTTGAAAATTTTGGTTCAGATTCGGGTTAGGAATTTTGACTCGTTTGTAAAACTGGGTCGGGTTTGGGTTGACCCAAAAACCCGATATCAACCCGGTTTGACCCGTTTTTAATTAATTTAGCAGGGGTTTAAAATATTTTTATGAAATAAGTAAATGTTATTTCTAAAAATAATAAACAATGTCACCCAAATTAAATTAATCTTGATTTATGTTTAAATAAATTTTTTTTGATAAAATATACCCAAAGCGGGTCGGGTTCGGGTCAAAAAAACCGACCCGTTTGCAAGGGTTCGGGTCGGGTTGAATAGTGCCGGGTTGGACCCGAACCCGAATCATGACCCATTTTTGACAGCCCTAATAATGCTTGCTTCTTGATGTAGAGCTTCATTAATGGCTGGTCATCTTTTAGACACATTTTTTAGAATGGGCATAAAATCAGCTCTTAAGATGCATGGATGGTGAAAAAGAACTGAAAAGGCTGTTCCAAAATCGTTTGTATAATAAAGTTAATGTAGTGGTTGAAACTAGAAAGCATCAATGTTTGGTGGTAGAATATGTTCTCAGATTTGTGTTTTGGTGGGTGGTTGAATGAGAATGGATGAATATCATGATTGCATACAAGGCCATATTTATATAATATCTCTATTTTAGAGTAAAAGCTCAAAATAATCCCTCGACTATTAATAAATGTTCAGAGTTCTGCATTACTCCAATTTAGTTCCTCAACTATTAAAAATTGATCCAATTCAGTCCCAGGGCCTAAAATAAGAGTTAAAGTCCAGTTAAATATGAGAGTAATTTTGGTAGTACAAATATATACGATTTACATTGTTTATGTTGCTATACTGTATCATTTAATAAATTATAATACAAACAAATATCGGATAGAAAGTAAATCTACTAAATAATAAGGTTGAATAATTAGTATTTACTTTAAAGCAAACAAATAGTTTATAACGTTACAAATTATTTTGATCTTGTTGAACAAATAAGATCAAAATCGTATGAACATGGATATTAGGAACACAAGCAAACCTAGCATTAACCATCTCTGTCTCCTTGTGGATGTCGCACATTGGTCGTCATCCCTGTCTCTATCTCTGGATGTCGAAGCACATCGTGGTTGCTCGCAACAACACATTGCCTCCTAATGCTCACCTCCACGAGATTAATTCAAATCGATAGCCTGTCGTCTCACTCGCAGCCTCTCATCTCTCACTTGCAGCACATCAAAGCTTGGTGAATCGAAGCACGTTGTCTTGCCCACAGTAGCATAGTGTTCTATCTCCTAAGGAATTATACTGGCTCACGCTATCGGTTTCTATCTATCACAGCATTTCACCTTTTGCTCGTAGCAGCAAGTCTTCTCGCTTGCACGATTTTGTCTCCTGGGATTATAGCAGGAAGGCAAGGGATTGAGTTATAAAAAGAAGTCTTTTTTTTTCTAAAATACTCATAAAAGAAACAAACGCTTAAGTATTTCGTTAATTTAAACAGAAAATTTAAGTGAAGGGACCAAATTGGACAAATTTTAATTGTTTTAGGGACTAAAATGGGCCAATGCGAAATTCTGAGTCTAAATTAGGTATTTATTAATAATTGGGGGATTATTTTGAGCTTTTACTCTTCCACTTTATATAATCATGTTTTAATATTTATTGATTTTTTTTCATATTTCTATGTTCCATATATTTCTATATATTCTTTAGTAAAATTTAGGAGACCATATCTAATATGTTAACTGTTGTGGCTTCAACAATCACTTGTGTTTTTAAAATGTATAAGCATCTACGCTTCACTTTTTCTGATGTATTTTTTGAATCCTAGATGACAGGAACAATTTAGAAAAGTTAACGCTCGCTGTACTGGAACATTTACCTACTGCTATATTGTATGTTCATGATCTCACAGGAGAATGTGGGATCTCTCCAGCTGATCAGGTATTTGTACTTTCTCTTATGATGTAGTTGTTCATTATATTTTGTACATTTAAACTTGGAGATGGAGTTATTCTTGATCATTATTTTTTTCGTAAAACTTCACTTTAATATAAAACAAATCTCACTAAGGTCCTCAGCATTGGTTGGAGTATTTGGATCTATATTTAATTTTTTTTTTATTTGCTTCCTTTTTTATTGTCATGTAAATTTTTGTTTCATTTATTGCATTTTGGTACTAAATGTTGAAAGCTGATGGGTCAAAATAACCGAATGTGCTGACCTTCCTGAGCTCTCTTCCCAATCACACCCAAATCCATCAAAAGGTTGACAAGTGGGCATCGCAAATACAATTCCTTGCCGCCCCCACCTGGAGTGCCTGGTAACAATCCTATATCAAGCAGATTGAATCCCAGTAAAAGCCATTAGACTTAATCTACATCTGAGCTAGGATTGATTATAGTCTCGCTCAATTCAATCTCGATTTATGCCAAGGCTGGATCATTTACTTCAATTGATAAAAAAAAAATTGATGATTAATTTCTATCTTTTAGGACATATATATATATGTTGATATTTAAATTTATATAAAATTTTCAAGGATTTCAAGCTGGCTCAGTTTGATCGAAGCCTAGCTTAATTCAAGTAAGCTTAGCTTGTTAGTCAACTCGTCAATCCGAGCCAAATATTGATCCATTTTTTGAGTAATCATTGATCTTTAAGTCCAATTCATGTCCTTCTAGGGAAAAGATATTGCTACTGACGATAAAAGAACACCAAACTTTCGTTCGCCTCATTTTGATGAGATGTCTACCCCTGGAAAATGAAAAAAAAAAACTCCACTCTACCATTCGCGATAATACCACCACCCTATTTCTCCAATTCCAGCACCTCCGGCATCTCCATCTTACTGTGCTGCTGCAGTCACCATTTTCCTGTTCTGCTTATAGCTGGGGTATTTTGGTCTGGTTAATTTTCAGTGACATTTAGCATTCATACGAGAAAATCAGGCGTTGAGTTGAAAAAAAGTGAAAATGGAAACTAATGACAGAACATATTTATTGGGCTGTATTGCTTATGTTCTAGGGAAAACTAAGAGTCCAAAACTGTACAAGCAAATAAGTGAGAAATCTTAGGATCGATTTACCATTATAAATTACTTCCCTATCTAATCAAACCATGATAATAACTGAGATTCTAGCCTCAACATTGCAGTTCCAGGTTAAGCTTTGTAGTGTATTTTCCGCAAGTAATATTTGATTAGTAACTAATATAGCATTATTCTGTACACGATTGCTATTCGAAAACTTTTTTTTTATTGGGTGTAATCATCACTTATCTCTTGAGCGTGTAATCAATAGATACATATTCCTACAAGATTGCTCCCTTTGCATTTGATTTCAGTAACAGAAATATCAACCATTAGGACCACCATATTTTCTTCATTCATTTGGCAATAGAGTTATTTGATGGTTAATTAAAAAAATTTTACAGTTCGTCATATACAAGGATATCAAGGGAAGATTTGGGGATCATCTTTGGCTTGACGTTGTCTCTAAAACTGATCTAATGCAAGAGCTGCCTATAGATGGAATTTTAAAGGATGATGGTGATGATGATGATGATGATGCCATTAGATACAAAGAATTTGGACCAGACGATGCGATATGGGTTTCAGTGAAGACCGAAGCTGGTATCAGTGAGGTTAGCTTTGCTTTAAAAATTCATTTCCTTTCTTGTCTAACATCACAATAGCATCATCTCGTGCGGTAAGAAAATTAGTGCGCGCAATGAACAACTCAATATTCGTTCATATAAAGCTTGTTTAAATGTGTTTATTTACTTAGTCGAACGCTGAACAAAATTTAAAAAATTCATCATATAAATAAATAAAAATCATTTCATAACCATATAATTTCGTATTTGGTGAGTAATTTTATGTTCTTGAAATTTTTTTTACTATCTTGTGCACTTTAAATTATGTATATTATTAGTCAGGTTAGGATGCTCAGGTGGATGATTGGCTTTACCCTTAGAGACAGGATACGAAATGAGTATATACGTGAAAAGGTTGGAGTAGCTCCAGTGAAAGGTAAGATTAGAGAGAGTCGCCTTAGATGGTTTAGTCACATTAAACGACAGCCTTCTGATGACCCGGTTAGTAGATTTGACTTCTATTAAGAAAGGTAGAGGTAGACCTAAAAAGACTTTGTTAGAAAATATTTTTTAAATGATCTTTCTTATTAGATTTAAACGAGAATTTGACTTTTAACATGACATAATGGAGAAAAAGGATTCATGTAGTTGACCCCACATAGTGGGACAAATGCTTGATGTTGTTGTTGTAGTATTAGTCATATAAGGATGTTGAAAATATCAAATAAATAGTATATTGATTAAAGTTTTTCTTTTTAACATTTGAATTCCACCCATCAACTTAAATAATGCCTAGTGAATTATTTTAATTTTAATGAAAATCTATAAATCTAGTTATATTTAGTAAAAAGGTGATGCGGACATCCAACCGTCCATGCCTATCCGAGGAGCTGAAGATCGACGGTCGTGATCGTTCAACGTTATCTTAAATTTTTATTTGTAATTTTATTATAATTATGCATTATCTGTTTTTACCCTTATTTAAGGGTTTAGTCTTATGTAAGCTCTAGGGGCATATTCGTCTTATTTTAGTTTTTTAATTTATGAGGCCTATATATAGAGGCCCTTGCTTATGTATTGACATGATGAAGTTTTAATAAAAAAATTGTTATGCACTTTTGTTCTTTGGGAGGACGTTAGTGAGAATCTCTATGGAGGGAATCGTACCCCCCCCCTCTCCCTCTAATTAATTAGATCCCATAAATTAAGGATCTAATTAATTCATTTCCTCCCCACTTCTTTCCTTAGCTTGGCCGACCCCTCTTCTCCCTCTCCACATTTTCTCTTGGACAACTATGCATGGCCTATCCGGATGTTGATCATAGATTTGTCTTGATTCCCAAGGATGTGTGGATGTTTTGAGATCGCCTTTCTTTGACGTCAACGTAGAGATCGACGCAACCGTTGAAGATTACGTGGATCGGATGCTATTTTCTCTATCAACCGCCATCGACGAATACTACCTTCGATCCGAGTGGCAACTCTTTGAGTGAGGGAAACTCAAGGTGGCTTTTCTAAATATTAACCCACGGATTATTGTTAAAGTGCAGTTGTCATTACTTGCGTGTTTGTTATTATTTTAAATTGTCTTGCATAACGAGTTTGTAACACTGCCTAAGCAACTTTGCAACTGAGATTTCATTAAATCATTAATTGTGACTCGTTAATCTATATATTGACTTGCTTATTCAGTTGTCTAATTATTTCTCCGTGCAATTCCGATGACGTTTCACATCATAAGGTTATATGTTCAAAGATATAATTAAATAGGCTTGAACTTGATAAGAAAATTAATAGATAAATATGAACAAAGTTTTATATGAAAACTCATAGAAAAAATAAATAACATGGTTAAATAAATTGGTGCTACTCTACTCAATTTGGTTCATTTACACTACTGTCATTATGTTCCTATGTTTGCTCTACAGCATTTTTTTATAAAAAATCTGTAGCCGATATCTGTTAAAATTACATCAAATATGTGCTTTCACTGCAGCTGAAATCTAGAGTTAAAGATCTGCTCACGTCCCAGATGGCTAGGATCAGAAGTGGGAACTCCAACCATTCAGAATGCGAAAGCTGAGGTAATTATTGCTTTTCTGATTGTGTGGTTAATGGCTGCAATAATCCCTGAATGTGTGCATCTTCTATACTATCGTACATTATGTCCAAACTAAAATAAGCTTATATATAAAGTTTTATTTTGATTATCAAGGCATTATTTGTAATTAAGTATTCTAATTTAAGATTTGATAACTAATTAATTAAGTAGGAGTAATTGATAGTTTACTATTTTCATAAGTTATTAAGGTATTTTAATCTGCTTAGTATGATTTCATCAGCAGATAATTATGATCACTAGCATAAAATAAATGATTGATTACTTAATTAGATAGCATAATTAAAGTAATATTTAATTAAATTAATTAGGCATTAACATGTTTTTTACTAAGAAGTTTACTGGGATCATACAAATTTTTATCTACGCAGTGACTATGATTAATTATGCTGTGCATTAATTTCAGCTGTAGATTTGATTATTTGTTGGGCTTTGTAAACTCATTATGTGGTTTTGCTTTCAGGTTTGAGAAATGGTCATGGTCTTGCAGAGTGAGGTTGATTGGTGTTTCCATGTTTTATTTTGTTGCATATTTTCTTTTATTTTTTTGTAGCGGTTGAAAGATAGATTAATGTATTGGGTAATCTCTTGGTTATTGTAAATCAAAGTTTGATGAATATATATAGAGTAAAAAATTTTGATGTATATGATTCATAGTTGGTTTTGCTGCGCTGATTTATATTGAATGAATTTATAGAAGCGCTGGTAGTTTTATTAAAGATAAATGTGCAATTCTTTCAATTTTGATATATATGACTTATAAGATGTTATGAATGATATATATAAGGGGTATATTTGATATTAAAGTTGTATATGGGTGGTAGACATGTAATATTAATATTTTGGGTTTTAGATATGTAAATAGTATGAAATAAAGTGATATGTTTGTAAATTTCCCAACTTATTAATATGGTAGAGAAGATTTGAAGAATGAAGTAGAAGTGTGGATATCATCTCAATGTGGCATAAATGATAGACAAAGAGTATGAGTTATAGCTTGATTATATATGATAAAAAAATCTCAAATATCTTCTCAATATGGTAAATAAGATAAGAAAAAATATGGAAGGTTTGGCTTGTATCTTGATCCTATTATATCAAGAATGCTTAAATATCTTCTCAATATGGCATATGAAAAAAGAAGTGTGGTACATATGTTTGGATTTCTCATTAACATGTTTAAAAAAATCTCCAAAAAATGGTGAAATTATTTTGTGCGGACACTGAACGCTATTCGGAGATCAATCAGAATGCGTCATATAACACCTTGTTCGGTATCGCGGCTCGATATCGCTCAGTACCTGGCTCGGTACCGTTGATGTGATGTATTCTGATTGGTCTCCAGACAGAGAATTGTGTTCGACGTCCGCATAGAATAATTTCTCCTAAGAATGAGACTTACAGTTTGATTGCATATGATCAAGAGACAAAAAATCTTCTCAATATAGTAGAAAAGATGTCAAAATATGTGGGAGATGGGACTTAAAGTTTGATTCTGAGGCCAATAAATTCAATTTGATATTTTAGTGTAGTTATTTTAATAAATAAAAAATAAAATGATGTTGGCAAAATAAAAAAAATTTAGAGTAAATTTTTTAAAAATCAGAACTTTTAAAAACAAGATAGAATGAAAATAAATGTTTTTTAACGTTTCTAGAAATTGTACAAGAAAAACATTGCGCTAAGGTTTTCACTCTCAATTACTAAATTTCTCTATCGTTCTTTGGCTATCATTAAGATGTAACTGAACTAGGATTTATTCAATTCTGTAAATTGGAATTTACTAAATTCTATGTGAGTTAAACCCTAAAAATCATTCAATATTATAGGTGTTAAATTCATTTAAATCAAAGTAAACTTTTTGACTAACTATGATTTATATGATTGATATTTCTTTTTATATTTATTTTACTTACATTAATCTTAATAGAACTAATTAACTAGCCTTTGATTACTCTGATTTTGGAGAGGTTATTATGTGCAATCACTAGACTGTCTGGAGATCAATAAGGACGTACCATGTTACCCGATGCACAGCGGTACATAATAACAGTACACAACGTATTAGTGACATGGAGTGTTCTAATTGGCCTCTGATGGCGACTGGTGACCGCACGTAATAATTTCTCCTAATTTTGATAAGGAGCGAAGCATTATTGGGTTTATCTAAAAAAAACATGGAATATTTAACAACTCCATTATAAGTTTAATGATTTTTTTTTACTTAGAAGCTCTTGCGTACTTTGGATTATAGTAGCAAGTTGAGCTATACTATTAACCATCATAACAAAATAATCGCGACGAGTTCGATCAACAAAGAATGTTATCATTTTTTTTTTGTGGGACACATATTTTGAAAGATGTTGATATTGCTCGATTTATCATTCTTACATGATATATATTTACTTTGCCCTAATCATTAAATTGTGATGCATTTATTTCAATTTTTATAAAATAGAAGATGTTATCATCTAAATTAATTTATCGAGTTTTAAGTTAAGTTTGAGAATTTTCATATTTAACTCACTCTTGAGTAGCATATCTCTTATCTAATAGATCTAGTAGGGGGATTGCGACTTTGGGCGATTAAGTCATTAATAAGAGTATACATTTTGTATATCTCCAGTCTTTGTTCAGAGTGATGGTGAATTACATGGAGATATTATTAGTAGAATTCAAGTTGAATGATTGAAATGAAGGAATTCATCGGGTTTATTGTGTGATAGAAAAGTCCCGTTCAAACCTATGAGAAAATTTTATAAGATGGTGGTGAGACCTGCATTGCTTTATGATGCATAATGTTGGTCATTAAAAGAGAAGTATAATATTAATTTAAGTGTTACAGAGATGATGATGCTTAGGTGGATGAGTTGCTTTACTCTTCAAGATAGGATACGAAATGAGCATATACATGAAAATGTTGGACTAGCTTCAATGGAAGATAAGATTAGAGAGAGTCGCATCAGATGATTTGGTCACATAAAATTGCAGCTTTCTCATGACCGATTAGGAGTAGATATATTAGATTTGACTTATGTTAAAAAAAGGTAGAGGTAGACTTAAAAAGAGTTGATTATAAAATATTGTAATTAATATTTCTTTATTAGATTTAAACGAGAATTTGATTCTTAACATGACATAATAAAGAAAAATGTTTCATATCACCTTTTTCTTTCGATATTTTATCAACAACTTTCGATATTGATAGTTTAATTAATAAAATTACCATTAATATTATTATTTTAATTAATCATAATTAATTGAAATTAATATCTTATATATTATTAATTAATAGTTTATAATTAAATATATTTCATTTTATCTAATTAAATATAGTTAAATTAATTATAAATAAATTATATTTATTAGGAAAATTTACATACATACCATTTTATATCATCCTATTTACATATCTAATACCTAAAACTTCAATATTACATACATACCACCTTATATTATTTTAATATCAAATATACCACTTATATTTCCTTCAGTGCCAATTTTAGAAAGAAGCAAGGTATTTGTTAAAATTAGTTTAAGAAGCATATTTAAAAGAAAATTTATTTTAATTTTTATCAATATTTTATTAGAATGAAAATTTAAAAGATTTTGTAATAAATTAAATTGCTTAAGTATTTAAAAAATTAAATAATTAAAAAGTTTATTTATTTTAATTAAAAAGTTTTTATAAATAATTATTTAATAAATTAAATTACTAATATTAAAAAAAAGTACATCATTCATTAAAAAAAGTACATCATTTCTCTGTATTGTCTTTCAATGCCGTTTGGCCCTCTCTCTCCCCCTTTTCTCTCTCCCTCATCTTGTCTCTCTCTCACTCTTACACATTCTCTCTGTACATGACAATTTTTTTTTAACTGAATACGCTGAATCATTTAGCTTATTCAGAAAACGCCAAATCATTTAACGTATTCAGAATACGTCAAATGATTTGGCTATTTTGCTCCTTTTAATTTTTTTTTTAAATGCACTCCTTAAACTAATTTTAAGAAATGTCCGGCTTCTTTCTAAAATTTGGCCTTTCCTTCATACCACTCATATATTTTATTTATACTACTCATATTAAAAATGAACTATGAGTGGTATATATGTAGCATTAAAGTTTTAGATATTAAATATGTAAATAGAAGAGTATAGGATGGTATGTATGTAAATCTCCCTATTTCTTATTAACAATAGTTTAAAATTTTGATTAATACATCTAATTAAATAAGTATCTTCCTTTTTCCACCCAAAATTTCCGAAACCTGCGACGCCACCGGAGCAGGAAGTCGCGACGGGAGGTCGCTGGAGAAGGCATCGACGGCAGCAGCGGCGTGTGAAGAAGAATTCGAGTTGATGTGAAATAAGATTTAAGATTCTGTAGGATTTAAAATTGGTCATTTTCCTAAATCCTGCTATCAAACAGCCCCTTCGGTTCTAGAGATCTGCCCTAGAATTTTGTAGCCGGCGCTACTATTGGCGCGTGCACGGATTGATGGCTGCATCCTCTTCCGTCTCCCTCAAGGAATATCTCAAGCGATACCAGTCAGGCACTGACGAGCCGAAGAAGGCCAAGAAGAAGAAGAGTAAAGAGAAGCTGAAGCCCCTATCTACCGGCGGAGTTCTCGTCGTTGACAATGACCCCATCTGGCAAAAGCCCGTGCAGCTAGATGATGCCGAGGAGGAAGACAATTTCGCGGGTAATTTCCATTTAAAATGATCCTTTTTCGAGTTTTTGAGTTTGGTTGCATCTCAGACTATGTTTTCTTTGTATAGGAGATGAGACGCCCCAAGTTGAGGAAGATATAGAGGTCAAGAGGATGAAAAGGCTCCAGGCGCTTCGTTCTGTCAGGCCTTATCATGGCATCAATGAAGATGGAAGCGGGTGGGTCTCGATTCCTAAGCCGTCTAGACCCTCCGCTGCTAAGGGACAAGATCTCTCGCCTCAGTTAAACAAACACGATTTTGGGAACAGTGACCTTTCGCCAACTTATTCAGACAAGGATCTGTCTCCTCCGCGCCAGAGGCGCCGCCGTTTGGATACACCCTCACCAGAGCCTGGATTAAGTGGGCATGGAGGGGAGGCCCGAGATCTATCACCCCCTCGAAAGCGGCGTGTTGAGGACCTTTCACCGCCGCATCATGGTAAGTTCCGCACACAGGAAGTGGAGGCAGGTCGTGGCTCGCGAGAAGATGACCTTTCACCCCCAAGGAAACCAGTGAAAGGGTCGGTAGATGATTTGTCTCTTCCTCTTCGATATTGAGAATTACCTGAAGCTCATCCTCATCTACTTTACAGGGCGAAGAAAGGGCCATTGGAGGATTTGTCTCCTCCCCGAAAAGCTCGGTCTTCACCTGTTGCGGATCTTTCCCCACCTAGGAGAATTAGAAAAATGTCTCCAGATGATTTGTCTCCTCCACGTAGAGCTTCGAAGCGCTCGCTGGAACCCACTGATATGCAGAGTTCTTCATTTCCTGACCTTTCACATACTACGAAGGGCCAATTTGGATCATCTCAGAACTCATCTGCACCGCGGAGAGTACACCATGGGTCATTAGAGGGTAGAGGAAATACAAATTTGCCCTCTGCTGGTCCTTTACCACCCAGAATTAAGGAGCCATCATTTACTCAGGAGGCAAAAAGTGGAGGTATATTATCACGTAAGGAAATGAGGGAGGAGACAGACAGGAAGAGGATGGAGGCGAAGTCTAGGTGGGTTTATATTCTGAAAGTTATAGCAGTTTAGCAATGTATAAAACTAAGTATGAAAGTTTGTGTGATTAGAGAAGACTAAGTTGGCATCTTTAATTTTTTTTTCCTTGGTGCCTGAAGGTTTGCTGCAATGGATCCATTGCTGACTGGAAGAGGCGCAGAAGTGGTATTTCGTGATAAAGAAGGTTTGACACTAATTCGTCACAACAATAAATATTAAAGTAACTGCTGGAATTTCTTTAAAATTTGTCAATTTAGATTTCCAAATGGCAGAATAATTCCTCATGGTATTAACTGTAGTATTATCTTCTTCAGGAAATAAGGTTTCAAAGGAGGAGTTGATGAAATCAAAGGAAAAGAAGAAAGAGGTAAGAAAGCACATGCCTTTTGGTTTGGAACTTAGAGTTTATAAATGAATTCCTTTATGGATTGTTGAGCTGCATTTAAGTGTTATGTACTTCTTTTTTTTTTTCGTGCTTTTTGGTCCTTTATTGTGTACTGAGGTTTTATTCTAATTACTAGTGGATTAAATATAGTGGGTGTTTTACGTAGTAATGTTTGAGAGGTCCCTCTTATTACACAAGGAATTCATTTTAATTATCATTCCATTATTATTAGAGGTGCCTAGGTCTCATTTAGAGACCCAAGTGTGGCTAGACTTGGCCATAACCTTCTACACTCCTAACCGGGTGCCATTTCTATGGTGTTTTTGGTGAGTGCTCCGTCTTAGACTAACTTTTATTTGGTCCGGTCACAGGACGTAGCTCTAAGTTCGGCCGCCAGTAGAATCGCGCCATGCGTTCTCACTATTTACCGCGCGCCCCTACAACCCGATCCGGAACGGACCCAGGATGGCTCGGTATTTCTCGATTTTGCTAGGTGTTGCTCGGTATTACACGGTATTGCTAGGTATTGATAGATTATGCTTGGCAATAACCAATACTGAGCAATACCGAGCAAATCCCGAGTAATACTGAGTTGTATCGAGTTGTACCGAGTTTTTGAAAAACTCGGTACAACTCGATACAACTCAATATTACTCGGTATTGGTCTTCACAGAGCGGTATTTTTCGTTATTTCCATGCAATACCTAGCAATACAAAGCAAATACCGAGTAATACCTCGCAATACACGAATATAGCATTCCCGGGTTCCGGTCCGGGTCAAGTCGTCGGGCCGCGCGGTAGAGAGTAAGAGCACGTGGCGACACGTTATTGGCGGCCGAACGTAGCTCTACGTCCGGTCAGAGGACGTAATAATTGTTCGTCTTAGACACCAAGGTTAGGATGAGCACTTTGCCTTGATTGGAGAGAAATGTGCTAGTACAAGCATGAAAGATATGTTGGTTGTTTATGATGATATTTTCAAATGATTTTGATGTTAAACGGGCAACAATAAATGGAAAAATATGGATATGTATTAGTAATAAGCGGTAAACTTTTTATTGATGAAGTAGATGAGTTTCAAAATATAAAGAAAGAACGAAGGAATATAAATCCAATGATAGAGTAGAGAGCATGAATAATGATAAAGATATACTAGGTAGTAATGAAGAGTAAATCAGCACTAGGCTATGCATGTTACAAACAAAAAGAGTTTAATAAAAGATCTAAAACATTTTAACTATTTAAGTTTTTTAAACCTCGGTTTTAGTACTTTGCATAAGGAAATCATTTTAGAAAGGTTATGAAACTTAGAACGCAAATTGTCCTCAAATGGTCCTAGGCTCTAATAAGAAATGTTGACTGGTTGAGGGTTGTCATTAGGCTACAACCAACTATGAACTTATGCCAAAGTCAATGAAATGAATCCAAATTTGAATTTTTCTAGTTTAGGGCATTCTTGATAAGGGATATGTTGTGAACTAGCATATTTGTGAACAAAATATAAGATACAGAGAAGATTTTTTTTTATTGCCTTTCTTGATGAATTTATAAGGTTTTATACACATTTTCATTAAATTACTACAAAAATTGTACAGGAATGAACTAATTTACATTGGTTGGCTTTCCTGCTAAATTAAGAGCAATACATGAATTGAATCGATCTCGTTTGCTGGATATAATCACACCTATGAATATTTGGCAGAATTTAATATTTTTAAAGAAAAAGGTAGGAGCCAACTATAGAATTGGAGATGAGGGGACGGACAGTTGGTGCAGCAGAAAGGCGGTAAACAACTCTCATCGTGAGGCATTGGATGAACATTTGTGGCAAGGGATGCGACAGACAAATGGGTGAAGTTATGGAAAGATTGCAGGAGGCGTGATTTTCTATATGTAGGAGGAAATGATTGGTTGTATTACTTGAAGAAAACATGCGACTGAATTCGGAAGTTCAACTTTTGGGTAGGGGACTTCAATAGCTAGGAAGGTTTGAATTTGAATTTATTTTCTGGATATATATATTATTGATTGGCAATTTACTCAAAAATCCAGAAAATAAATTCAACTTAAGTCTAGGAATATATATTTATTTTTCTGCCTAACATATCTTCGACTGTTCCATTCTATATGATTTTTGTATGAACATTTGCTCATCCTAAGACAATAGGAAGTTATGTCACAAGGCTAGAAAATATTATTAAAAAAAACCTAATTACAAACTAGATTCCTTCTTTAGCAAATTGCAAAATAGTAAAGGAATTTTATTACCAGAGAATTCTTCCCAATAGAAATCTGAAAAAATGGCATAGCTAGCACATAGATTTGCTAGCTTATTACCTTCTCTATTAACCCAATTGAAAATAATGAATTTATGATCTTTTAAAAGAAGCAATTCATCTTTCCACTTGCCTCCCGTTTTTTGCAAAAAACTTGATAACATTGAAATTATCCCCTTCTATGATAATACCTCGGTAATCTTGCATCCAATCTCTTTTTATCTCCTTTATGAATTGAACCGAAAACAGTTCAAGGCTAGCAATATCCCAATGGATACATGAATGACCGTAAGCCAAAAGCATTCTACCTTTGCTATCCCGAACCACTCCACCAATGCCAGTTTTTTGAGATTTTAATAATGATGCATCAACATTAATCTTTAATCAGTTGGGAGGAGGAGGGTACCAACAATATTGTGCATGATTGTTCACAATATTGATTGTATATTTATTGTCACTATAGAGAGTTGTTAGTGATGTATTATGTATTTGTAAATCCTCCATCAATGATTCTAACCAGATAACTTCATAGACTCCTACAATGTCGTGAAATACTACTTCAACTCTTCTTCTAATGACTAATGCTTGTTTTTTGACTTTGTCAAGTGATTAAATTTTCCCATAACTTTGCGTAATCTTGAGGTGGATTTGTTATCCTCTCCTCCTACCCATGCTGAATTAGTGTCTCCTTCTATATTCTTTTTTTGTTTTGTTTTGTGAAACATGAAGCCTCTTCCTTGACTATATTTAATATATTTCAATGTTTTATTTATAGAATTCAGATGCCAGCGAGTTGGGGAAAGCATTACTTGACTTATCTGATGGACCGGACCGCCCGGTCCATCCCGCAGCCGCACCGGCCCACGAGGGGCCGGTTCTCGCCTATCGCAGGCGGAGAAAACGCCCGCCTGGGCGTTCGGCCGAAGGAGAGGGAGGAGGCGGGTGGGCCCAAGGGGCCCACCAAATGTAAGAGGGAGTTTGTTTTGTTTGCCCTAGGGATAATTAGGGTATTTTGGGGGGATCTTGTGAGGGTTAAAAGGGAGTTAGGGTTGGTTTGAGAGGGATCTTGTTTTGGTGGCTGTTTTAGCTTTCTTCTAATCTAGGGCTTGGGAGAAAGCTTCTCTTCTCGAATTGAGAGCATTGTATCCGTGGAAACTTGTAAGTCTTTTGATATTTAAGTAATCGAAGTGCTTGTGAGTGTTTCCATCCAAGAAATCCTCCATTTTTCCACTGTTTTTGGGCTGTTTTTCCTGGATTCCGAATTTTTGCAACTCAAGTTCCATCATTATCACACATTGCTAGTGGTGCACTTTCGATTGGTTTGGACAGTTTGAATTACAGATGGCTTAATCAATAGGTTTTGAATTTAAAATCTAATAATTGAATTCACCAAATTATAAATATAACCTAATCAAACTGAACCACATTAAAGTTTGGTTGATTTGGTTCAATTTGACTGATAATTTTTTGTTATTTCAAATATAAAGGTGTGAATTGGTACTTAATAAGGGCAAAGTCAATCATATAAAAACTAAATACACATATCACCAAAATCATTTGCTTTTTTCTTTAAATATAGACTACTCACTAAAATTTATCAGATCAAAGTATTATTATTGAAAAGCTATATTGTTCAAGAAAACCTCCGAAGGCCTGATACAAAAAAATTGTGTATGATTCTAAATAAATATCTCTCATGATGATATAATTAATATTGATTAGTTGTTGAAACACTGAAATACTTTGGACTTAGGCAAAATTGTAGAAGATGTGTCCTAATCCCGTGCGAATCTTGTGACTTTTCGTTTGCAGGGTATCAGGTAGCGCACCCTTGAGTACTGGAGTCTAGTCCAAGCAATAGATTTTGAGGTTCGGGCCACCGCTAGCCACCGAGCAAGAGATTTCTATGGGAAAAGGTTTATCTGAAGAGGTTTAGGGATCGAGACACTATTACGATGAGTGCAAGGGCTGAGGAGTTCTAGTTTACTTAGTCTAGGGCTCTTCTTGTGCACTTCTAGGTAGATTATAACATTCTTCGCTTGATTGAAGCCTCAAAGTTGAAGGAGTCAAAGCCCTAGCATATGTTGATTGCTCATTTTGCCAACCAAACCCCTTGACCATTGGGTAAATCTGAAATGAGAAGCTTTGTTGCTTGTTCATATTTAGGAAGAGGCAAGGAGCTATTTGTATTTAGGTAGAGAGAATAAAAAGGAGGGGTTTAAGAGCGAGAATAAAAAGAAGGGTTTGAGTTTTATGGATTTTGCTGATTTAATTGACATAAAAACTGATCCAATAATTGTAAACCAAATAATATGTAAATTTAAACCAATAACTAAACCACTATTTTATAAACTGAAATAAAGAACTTCAACAAATTTGTTAGGTTTGGTTTTTTGGGTTTAGCCAAATAAGGCACGCCCCTATTCACTTGCATATGAAATGTTTGGACTAATTAGTGATAAATAACTAAATCTTCCTACAAAACGCTGACATATTTCTTTATCAATAGTTGGTTCATCATGCTTTCCTTTTTTTGCAAATCCTTTAGTGTGGTGTATCTGCCCCATATTTTCAACTTACTTTCACAGTTTCTTTGGGCATGTCAAATGTGCATTTCCTTTGGGAGATAAAAATATTATTCTTAATTCTAGCAATGTCCATTCCAAGTAATTTTTTATGTTTTCCCAAAAAATTCACCTTCAAAATCAACTCACCATTTATTTTATTTATTTCTTGGATGTTATCAGTTGTAATCAGTAATCACCATATCATCTACATACACAATTAGAGTGGATATCTTCCTTTGTTATCAAAATTCTAAGAAAGCAAATTAGAATCCTTTTCATCGTTTGTATCCCAACTTAGTATGCATTGATCATATTCATGTTGATTGTTTTGGATCATAGAGGGATTTTTTTGAGCTTAGAGGCTTTTTCTCTTCTTCTGTTTTGATTGGAATCCTTGATGAATCTTCATGTATACTTCTTCTTTTAGTTTTTTTTTTTAATTTTTTATGTATACTTCTTCTTTTGGCTCTCCATTTAAAAAGCCATTTTTTATGTCAGTTGAGGAAGCCTCCCAACTGAGGATTGGTGCCAAGGATAATAAATGCCAAAAAAATATTCAAATTTACAATTGAAACAAATGTCTCATCATAGTCTATCACATACATTTGAGTGAATCCTTGAGCCACTAAGTTTTCATTTTCTCCTTCTAGGCTTTCACTTTGCATTTTTATATGTTTTCAACGAGCTGTCCCATCTCTCATCTTTATTTTATACTAAAAAAAGTTTTCAGAATTTTGAGAGGGTTTTTGATGGGGACATCAGTTGGAAAGTCTACCGTCGACGTGGCCGTAGATGTTGGGCCACGATTTATCCGATGTACTTTTGATTTTATTATTGTCTACTTATTGATGTAATTTTTTATTTCAGCATTTTCCGGTTTTACCCTTGCTTGAGGGATTGAGTCATGTTGCCCATTGAGGGTATTTGAGTCCTTTTGCTTTAAGTCATTGTAAGAGGCTATTTATAGCCTTCTTCTTGTTATTTTGAAGGTTAATGAATGATATCAAGATATTTTCCTGCATTTGTCTTCTTGAAGCTTATGTGAGAGCTTGAGAGAGAGTTTGAGAGCTTGGTGGAGCCTAGGAGAGGCCACCCGTCGTACCCAACAATCACCACCGGTGGCTCTTGGTTCTCCTCCTTCCTCCCTTCCCGTCTACCCAACACCTGCCGCCGGTCATCCACACCACCAACCACCACCTCATATCCCTTCCTACCAAAGCTCACCTCAACCTAACCACCAACCCAACCCTTCTTCTTCATTAGCTCCTCCACCCGCCCCACCCAAGCCAAACCCGCCGCCGGCCACCCTTGTTTGCCTCCATGAATGAGTAATTAATGCCCCTTATTGCTTACCTAAAGAGCTTAAATAGTTTGGGAAATTATTTTCAAATTTTGAATTTCAAATAGTTTCCTAAATTAGAGAGCTATTTTAGGAAGGTATTGAAACTCATTCATGATTAATTTCAAATTTGATTTGTGCGGAATTTTTATTCTTCTAAATTAAAGATACCAATTTGGAAGGGAAGTTAAATTTCTCCACAAAAAAAAAACCTCCCTCTCCCTCTACATGCCGCTGGCCCCTTGGCCCCCACTTCTTTAATGCTACATTAAGGCTCTTAATTACATGTCATTTGAAATCCAAATTTCAAAATTTTCCCTCCTCTTTTACTTAAAATCTGAGAATAATTTCAGATTTGAGGATTATAACACTTTTATCTCAACCCAACCTAGTTCTTTCCTAACTCTAGCCTCTTCCTCCCTCCCTACCGCCATCTCTCTCCCTCTTCCTCTCTAGTGTGTTCTCTCCTTACATGATAATGATGTATGGCCGATCCGGCGTTTGATTCCGACTTCTCATACGACGACCAAGGCTTCGTGGATCTTCTCAAATTACCATCGTCGGTGTGATTCCAATCTTTGACGGATCCATAGAAAGTCTGTCAACCCGTAGTAGTCGTTGATGATCACGTCTATGGAGTATCAACCATCGGAAGGAATGTGGTGTATCAAGATTCAAGACGATTCTCCGTGAAGGTGATATTCTTCATTGATTCGTGTACTTTCATATTCTACTTCTTAGAGAGATTGTTCAAGCAAGAGATTGTGTTTCACTATCGCCATCCATTAGTAACGTAGGATTGTTACTTCTTTGCTTTTAGACCTCTTGTTAGATCAAGGTTATGTTGAAAGCTATTTTGTACGCATTGCTTTAAATTTTTCTAAATGTTTTGACTTTGCTTAGTCTCTTGCGTAGCTTAGCCTAAACGGAAGTGACCGCTTTAAAGTTTTACTTTGTGGTTTTAGTGGCTAATAATGAGAAATCCAAAGTTGTTCTTTAAATATTTTGTGCAAATTTCCTGTCTTGCATTTAGTCCTGCATCAATTTTACTTCAAAATAAGCTACCTCCCTTCATATTCTCTCTATATTCTTTAGTATATAATATGTAGATGTATAGATACATATTTCAATATGTAAGAAATAATTATTATTAATGATTAGTATAAGCCTTTATTTACTGTTAGAATATGAACATAGATATTTATATTTAAATGAGCTACTAGCACATGTGAGAGGGGGATGGAATGGTGAGGTTAGATTTTCGTTTGATAATCTATTTGAATTGAGAGAGATGGACTGGGAATGATTTTAAGACCCATTTTTTTTCAATGAACATCCCATCTCATTGCCTTTTATTAAATATGTTTAAAATAGTAATTCTCAAAACTTTAATAGAGCGTCATTTCAAAATAGAGCCAATCTTTTATGCTTTTAAGAAAATGCCTTTCTCATTTTATCTTAGCATAATTGATGTGGCTATAGCTTTATGGTTACAACAACAACAACAATAACAACAACAACATCAACAGTAATAATAAGCATTTATCGCACTACGTGAGGTTGGCTACATGATTCCTTTTTCTTCATAGTGTCCTTTAAAGAGTCAAATTTTAAATTAAATCTAATAAAAAAAGGTCATTTTTAATACTTTCCAGCCAAGCCTTTTTAGGTCTACCCCTATCTAATACATCTACTCTCCTAAGAGGGTAATCAGAAGGTCGATGTTTTGTGTGATCAAACCATCTAATGTGACTCTCTCTGATCTTATTAGCCATTGGGGCTGCTTCAACCTTTTTACATATATTCTCATTTTATATCATGTCTCTAAGTGTAAAGCCACTCATCCACTAAGCATCCTTATCTCTGTAATACTTAATTTTATACTTCCCTTTTAGTGGCTAATATTCTGTGCCATAAGCATTATGGGTCTCAAGGCCATCATATAAAATTTTTCCTCAAGTTTGAGTGGTTCTTTTCTATCATGCAACAGGCCCGATTCATACCTCAATTTCAACTATCCAGCTTAAGTTTTATTAATAATATCCCCATCTATTTCTCCATTACTTTGAACAATAGACCAAATAAATCTAAAACATGCACTTTTTTTAATCAATTGATCACACATTATCACAAGCCCACCACTTGATCTATTACTACTAATATTACACTCTATGTATTCGGTTTTAGATCCACTCAAGCGAAAATCTTTATACTTGAAAGTTGACCTCCATAATTCAAGTTTTTTAATCAACTCCCTCTCTAGTCTTATCGACAAAATGAATACACCAAGATACATCTTCATGCAAAAGCCTAGTAAAAAAAATCAATGACTAAATCAAAAAGATATGGGCTTAAAGCTGATCCTTGATGCAATCCAACTGAAACAAGAAGATACTTGATCAAACCATCTTGTATTAAACGTAAGTAACCACTTTTGTATGCATACTCTTAATGATTTAAATATAAATATTATTAACTCATTTCTTTTTTAAAACTCTCCAGATCACTTCGCTTGGAACTTTATCACTTGGAACTTTATCACATGCTTTCTCTAAATCAATAAATATCAAATGTAGATCATCATTAATTTCTCTATATTGCTTTATCAAACCTCTCAACAAATGTATAGCTAGATGGTTATGTAATCTAAATTTGCCCCCCATTGCGCTGTCACTTATGTTTGGTATAGGTGCTGTTTTAGGCATGCCTTTTGGGATTTAACATTTTTTTTCTCCTAGACATAGCAGATTAACTTTTTAAGAAAGCCAAATTGGCCACTTTCCCAGTTAGATTCCAAATCGACCTTACTCTATAGTTTCTTTTCTTTTTAGCATGGTTTTAGAGGGAGGGAGCACAGATTAGGATAAAAGTCTTTCACGTAGAAGTTCTTTGCCTAGGGGTTTATGAACCCAGCTTTAATTTGTGGAAATTAACTGTTATCTTTTTTTAATTGATAGTTGTTCCTTTTGTTTTTATTGATTTATGCTTTTTAAATGTTCTGATTTGCTCCAGGAGAGGCCGTTGGAGTGGGGCAAAGGTTTAGCACAAAAGCGAGAAGCTGAAGAGAGGGGGAAAGAGCTGGAACGTGAGAAGGAGAGGCCTTTTGCACGTTCGCGGTATGATTATTTATTTCATAATTTAGCTCTTAGAAGGCTATCTTTTATTGCAGTCAATTCATAATATTTTGCCTACTAAGTTGTAACATTAATCGTTATAGGTCTAATGATTCTAAAGTTCATGTTTACTGTTAACGGATTTGTTTAAAATACATTACATGGCATAATGTCTATGAAATGACTATTTAAGTTTCTTTTATCTACATTTTTAACCGTTGGTTGATTTATTTTGACCATAGGGATGATCCTGAGCTTGATAAGATGTTGAAGGAGAGGTTGAGATGGGGTGATCCAATGGCTCATTTGGTTAAGGTATACTCACATCACGCTGAATGATTTTATTCGATGATTTCATTAAATTCACTATTTTACTTATTTCATTGCAGCGGAAGACCTCAGAGCTAATTCTAGAAGATTTTGCTGAAAATGAAAAAATGAAAGAATCTGGCTTCGTAGTTCCTCAAAGTATTCCTACGCACAGCTGGTTGAAACGGGGATTAGATTTCACCCCAAATCGATATGGCATCAAACCTGGTAGACATTGGGATGGAGTCGATCGGAGCAACGGTTTGTGACTTACTTTTTGATTTTGACTTTTATTCATATTTCATGTTTTCCTTAGTTTATTAATTGAATCAACATTGATACATTGATCCATGGATTCATTCATTTTGTTGGGAAATATTTAGCAGGCAAATCAAAATTGTTTGAGATCGTTTTTGTAAGAACAAAAAGAAGAAAGATAAAATATGAAGTACGGATCAACTGAGCTTTCTTGATATTTGCTTAAGAATTTCTAGTGGTGCATAAATTTTATGGATGTATACTAATATGTAAAATGATGTATGGATTGATGAATATGTGATTACATGCAGGGGATGGATACTTGGCGCATGAACCCTCCTAACAATGTGGAGAATTAGAGAGGCTTATTTTGATTGCAAATTTCCTACACCACTCCAAAATTCAATATTTGAACCCATAACCTTGAAATTAAAATATAGTCAATATAATCATTTTTTCAGATTTACTCTCTTGATTTACTATACTGACATATTTAAATTTAAGAGTCTTAATGTTTTATCTCAAAAGAAATTCTTATAATCGACTCAAAGAAGAATGTTAGTGACTCCCCATGAGTTGTTACCTTAAGGAAACCCTCCGATTTTCAAGTGTGTGGCTTAGCAATACAGTCCAAAATAGATTTGGGTGGAAGGATTTACCTTGTATTCTGGGTGAGTCTATATAATGAAGAAAATGCTTAATTTAAAATTTTGTAGTGGGTGGAGGGATCAATTAGATGGAAGTAGTTGGATTATGTTGGTTCGCTACATATATCATAGTGGGGATCAAGTCAAGTCAACTAGAGTTGAATAATATAACTGAAGGGTGGCAGTTGCCACATTATTATTATAGGGTCATATAACAATTAATTAGCTTATAGGAAGTAACTTGTGGTTGTAAAAGAAATGTGATACGCCTTAGGGTTCCCAAGTTAGGATTTGCCCTAATGCTCTTCCAAAGAAGAAATTTCTCTTCCAAATCCACGACAAAAATCAACACAAGAGAGATGAGAGGAAGAACAAGAAAATTTGCATTCAAAATCCAAGAGAAACAAGATACAAGTTGTCCACTTCGAGAAGGACAAGGTCTCCCACTACAAACCCTAGAAAAAGCAAGAGAAAGAACTAAGAGGCTAAGAGAAAACTTCAATCTTTCATGCCCTAGAAATCCCCCCTTAATCCCTACATATAGCAAGCAAAAGACCCCACCATACCCACTAGTGGGCTGCCCAAGTTGAACCGCCCGGTTCAAGCTAGACTTGAGCCAAACCGGTCCAGAAATGGCCCGGTTCCGCTCAAGCCGCTCGGCGTGTCCCGCTCGGCGTTCCGCCCCGCGTCCCCATCCCGCGTTCCCCGCTTCAGCGGGTCGAACGGCGCAGTCCGACCGCGCGCCGCGGGGTCGCCGGCCCTCCCTCTGCCGGTCGGCGTCGGCGGTGGTCGGCGGTGGCCCGCATCAAAATGTTTGAGCAATGGGTGATGAGCTTTGAGGCCATGATGAAAGTAAGCTTGTTGATTGTGGTAAATGTTGGGTTTAAAGGCAGTGATGGATGTTAGGTTTAGATATAATGACAGAGGTTAGGCTCAGAAAAAATTGGTAAAGCTGTGATCAGAGACAATTATAGAGACTTGTTGGAGGCATGTACTCGTTTTTTAAGACAGTTATGGAGGATGAGCTTGAAGACAAGAATCGTTTGCTTCTCCTTTGTTCCACTGCTATTCATTTGGAAAGCATCGACCTTCTCCGCCAACCCTTGTTTAAGGGAAAGAGAAGTGGAGTCAGGGAAGGAGGCAAATTAATATTGGAAGATTAAATTCTTTATTGATTGTTTGACAAAAGACGACTTTTTCATTGAGCGTTAGACAATTTTGGTAAGAGTCAGATGACATGAAATGGGAAGAATGTAATATAAAGAAACAAGGACAGGAAAGTATGTCCTTTTATTGATTGTCCAACAAACATCAACCTTCGCGATTGACCCTTGAGAGCATGGTAAAATAAGAGATGGATTGGGTGGTCCTCCTTTTCTTTTCCTAAATGATTAACTTAGGGGCGATTTTTGGACATCAGTATAATTTTTATTAGAATAGCCTAAATGTAGTTGATGCTCATACCATGATATACCTTTTTTAGTTTCAAATTGTATCTAACGTGATAAGATAGATTCATGTCTGAACCCATATGTTGCAACAATTCAAGAGCCCACTCAACGAGGACTTTAAAGTGATAAAAATAAAAAATAGCACCAAGGCCTCTGTTAGCGCTATTATTGTATGTATTGATGATCCTTGGAAATAAAAAAAATAGATGGAGTGGAGAGGAATGCATGATGTTTATGGCGTGATTTCATCTTCCAGATTGGCCATGATAATATCGAAAAGGACTCCAGTTTTCTTGGTTTGAACTTTGCCGATTATACTTCCTCATTTCTCAATAAAAATAGAATTCCATCGTTCTTCAAGAATTATTTCAAAATAAATGTCGTTTTGCTAGATAGATAGTAGTGTCAGTAGTAATTTGTAGAAGAATCATTTTTTTTTTCTTTTTTAGTTATGAACAATATACTAATCTCGGTAATTAAAATTTACATCAAGTTTGACAACATTGATTGCTTATAATGGTTGGTTGATGGGAGCCGCCTTTGGAATTCCCAGTTCAAGGTTATATGACTCTGAGGCTCTTATGGAAGCAAGGAGTAGGTTGATTTGCACACGAGTTATTTAGATTGAGACCCTCTCCTCTCACCTTTGCCCTTTGCAGATTTTGATTCAATCCGATTAATTTGGGGTTATTTGAGTGTTTGAGTTGTTTGAGCGTGCAACTGTTTCAACTTCTTCAAAGTTATCTGGGTCAGTTGAGTTAGTCTACGCCTAGTCAAATGCTAGATTAGTCAAAGTGAACTAAAACATAGTTCATTACTTCATTTCAATCTTTTAAGATCACTTAGTACTTAAAAACTTTCTTCAATCCTAATATTTTTCTTAAAAACATATATCTTTATTTATGGATCATCTTTTTGGAGTCAATAAATATTTATTAGATCAATTTCTCTAATTTGACTCTTAATAGGACATAATGGAGAAAAAAAAAAGAGGTAGCTAACCCAACGTGGTGGGATAAATGCTTGATGCTGGTCAACTCTAATTAAAATCTTTCTAATCACATCCTTAAGTTGAAAATTAATGAGAAGCATGTTGATTTGTTGTGCTGGAAGGTTTGCTTGATGAACTTCAGTAACATGTGAATGAAACTATCAAAATTTAAGAATTTTAAGAGACTTCATTGTGCAGAATTCGAGAAACCTAAATAAAGTAATGTTTTATTAAGTAACCTTAAATTGAATTTGTTAAGTTTCCTTGAACAGCCAATATGCTAAATGGTTTACTTAATGCAATAACTTCCAAAATTAAGCTTGATTTATGACTAGATTTTTTAAAGGCGTAATTAAATTCCAATTGATTATATATATATATATATATATAAACAACATTTGCCATTAATTCTTCAAATTTTAAATCATGTTTAATTGATTAAAATTAATTAAAATTAATTAAAATGAACCTTTTAAGATTAACTAGTTGGATCAACTTAGATTAGCCCTGATAAGCTTTTATTTTTCATTATCTTACGGCTACCCACTCCTACAACAAACTACAGCTAAATCGAGTCTTCCACAGCCCATATGGGCATGAACATGAAACAACAAAATTGTATGTATATGTCAGAGCTGGCATAATTGTCATCTTTGTGACAAATGATGTTGTAAGTTGAGGCTATGCCATCATTATTAAACTTGAGGCACATATATGACAGACCAAAGCCATGCTTTCACCATGGACTTGGAGTTGTGATTGGAGTCATACAATCATCTTCAAGGGGAGTAAGTTTTGGTGTGTTCCATGTGTATCATATTAGGAGCATAGTATTATCTCTTTAATAAGGGGCTTCCCTTGTTACTTTGTACTCCATGCCAAAGGGCTCGGGAGCTTCCCAATGATGGGAACCAAATTAAGTTTATAAGAATTCATTTTTGCTTTTTTGGAGTAGAAATTGATAATTGTTTGTCTTCATTCCATGTTTCTTCAACTCTTCTATATTTGTGTGGGCATCTCCTTTTTTTTTTAAATTGATAAGTCAAACTTTGGATTAGTGACTTATTCAGCCAATATTTTTTTTACATAAATTGACGTTTGCAATGTGGAGAGTATGCAAAGTACAACGTTGACTCCAAAAATATTTATGTTAAAGGCCGTACATATTGATTTTTTTTAGTACTTTGGGCCTCTAAACTATGAGGCATCTATCATTGGATGATCCTACATACACTTTTATAATAGAGGAAATAGTTAGAAAAGACACATAAAATACTTGATACTTACGTTGAATTCACATTCATTTCCATGATTTTTTTAAAACCATTGAACCCATCCTTCTAAAATAATTTTTTGTAACATAAAAAATTTAAAGCCATTAATTAAGTTTGAAACTCATTTGATACTAACTCAAGAATTTTAATTGACTTAAAGTCAAAATTGATTTGTTGACTTGAGAATGGCTCACTTAAAATTAATTCAATTCATGATATGGTGTCTGGCTTGCCCTTCTTAAATTGAAAGTATTTTTCTTCTTATTAAGTGACTATGTGGTTTGAAATAAAATGGGCGTAAAGTATTTAAAAGCAGAAGTTTGAAGAATATTGGTATTTGATTTGAAGTAAAATAAATGCAATATAAAATTTTGATATATTTGAAATGCACCATCTAGTGCAAATTTGGTGTATTTGAAATTTGTCTGGTTTGGGTAATTTCCAAATACATCATGAATTCATCGTCATTGTCACCATTTGCCGGTAAGATTAGAGACAGTCGTCTTAGATGATTTGGTCACATAAAGCGTCGGCCTTTTGATGACTCGGTCATGAGGATAGATGTATTAGATTCGGTCTATATTAAGAAAGCCAGAGGTAGACCTAAAATACTTTGTTAGAAAGTATTAGAAATGATATTTTTTATTAGATTTAAATGAGAATTTGACTATTAATAAGGCATAATTTAGAAAGAGGATTCATGTAACCGACCTCTTGAGGCTTGATGACTTGATGTTATTGTAACTTCTTGGAGCCACCTTTGCTATCGTCGCTGCCCGCCACCAACACCTATCTTCGCGGTTGTCATCGCCACTCGTCATCATCAACGTCCATTCTCCACCGTTGGTGACCTGTTGACCATCGACGCCGTAGGCCACAACCACCCTCGGCATCGCCCTACAACATCACTGCCTACCGCTGACCACCACCATTTTAGACTTTAAACCACATTCATTTTACTTCAAGTCAAACAAAGAAATAATCACATGCATTTATTTTATACTCATCCAAACAACTCCGAAGCATTTTAAATACAATGGACTCCTTTACACGACGTTCCTTTTACACCACATTTCCTTTTTAGCATACCAAACATTCCCTAAATAAAGAAAAAAATAAGATTTTAAATTTCGTGAGAGCTAAATTTTTAAATAGTGTCCTCTTTTTGGTTTTAGTTTTGAAAAGTTTTTAAAAATTCTAGAGAAGTTATTTAAAAATGTTGCTCTCTTATTGTTTTGATGTTTTGTAAGGAGCTTTCTCTTTTATTTTTTGCTTATTGAGTGGGCAATATATATGTGCGTGTGTGCACATGTATGTTATATTGATTTGTAAAAGATATTAATAAGAAATTTTTTATCCATATGCTTTATATACATGCATACATCCTTTTAGAAGGATAGGAGCCCTTGTTCTCACTCATCTTCCAATTTGTATCCAAATTAAGATAGTTGACTAAAATAAACTCGACTTGAACTCGCCTCAAACTGGAATTGAAATGGTGCTCGCTGTCAAACTCAACTCGACACCTACAGTTCCTAGAAAAAGAGTTTTTCTAGAGAAATGACTTCTTTTTAGAGTGCTTTTCTTTGGGTAATATACTTCCCCTAGAAAAGGTAAGTGAAAACATTTGAAATGGTTGATAAATAAAATGTTGATGAATGTCTTGGTTGATTGTTCACTCACATATGCAGTTCTTGTATTATTGGATGTAGCATTCATGGTCATTAGCTAATAGAGAAAACAGTTTTCGGGACTTCTAGTTGGGGAATGGTCCTAAAAACTCGACGATCAATGATGCTATTGAAGGTGGTGGGGATCATTGCAAATGGGATATATGTTGAGGGCGATGTGCTCTTTGGTACCCTATCTGATCACAAGAGGATGGTTTTAACAGACCTCAACTACTCCAAGAATGTCAAGAAGATCGTTGAATCAGGATTGCAACATTGAGTGCTCCCAATGGTGAAGGAGCTCTTTGCAAGATGTTGATGCACAATAGTTGGCTAATGTGGAGTAAGCCAACTTTTGGTAAAGATTCTAGCAAGGATGGTTGGTCCTTGCACGGGGATGTCCATATACAATTAACATGCTTTTAAGGTTTACAAACAAAGATTGTGGCAAGCATCTCATAGATGATGCAAAACTATTGCGGAGTCAATAAATTTCCGTTTGTTTGAAAGAGCTTGCACGAATTCAGAGCCTGTAGTCAGAAAATATCGTTGTGCATTGTCGGTTCTAAAGAAATACATCATTGGCCCTAAAAGGGCTTTTGACCTAGTGGAGATGCTTCAAAGCTCTAGCTAATAGCTAGTGACTTAGGCATGTAGTCCAACTTGAACAAAAAAAGTATCTACCACTGGATTCTTTATGAATCTACATAAATGAATATAAATTTCTTAATGTATAAAATCATAATCTGAGGTTGAGAGATCGAACAATTGTAGTTGGCTATGGTGGTTTGACAAGTCCATCTTATTTTGCATGGCTATGTAAATATTAAGAATATTCTAGTAAATTAAATTATTCATGTAATTCTTTCAAATGAGTGGCATGTTTGAATGAATGAAACTTGTGGGAGATAAATGTGACTTAAAAAGTTTTCAAAGTAAAAACTTATATGAAACGGTTTGAACTCGATAATTTTTGATGAGATGTTGTTAGTGGATCTCATGAATCCAAGGGATGTGCATGAAATTTTTGCCAATCATAAACTACCCGATTACTATGTAGATATCTTTTTCTTAATGAATCAATGCATCTATCCATAATATCTTTTGGTCAGTTTATTACTATGGTTGTAATTTGCTTTGCTAAACCATTGAAGTATTATGATGACCGTTAGGTTTACATTTATCAATTATGATGCAGGATATGAGAAGGAACTATTTAAGAGACAGAATGAAAAGCGGGCCACAGAAACTGAGGCTTATTTGTGGTCCGTCTCTGACATGTGAGGATATGAAGCTGGCTTTAGCTGCGTTGGTTTCCGCAAAGCAGAATCTGATCAGGTCCATTATTAATATTATTTTCGATAAAGTTAAGGATTGACATTGTGAGAATATACGCCATTTTAATTACTGGTTTTGCTTGAGCTTGACCATTTTTGTGTAGGCTGTGACCATAAAATTTTCCCTTGTAATTTTTTGTCGAACTAGTCCTTTATTAGTGCCCTTTAGTATATGTGTTTTGTATACATCATCTTGATAACCAGATGATTGAATACTAAGGGTTCGTTTGGGACGGTTTCTTTCTGCTTCTTAAAACAACTTTCTAGCACAAAATTAAAAAATTTTGTACTAAAAAACTGCTTTAAGAAGTAGAAAGAAAGCCATCCCAAACGAAGCCTAAGGCTTCGTTTGGGACGGCTTTTCTACTGCTTCTTGAATCAGCTTTCTAGTAAAAACTTTTTTAATTTTTTACTAAAAAACTGCTTCAAGAAGCAATAAAAAGCCGTCCCAAACGAAGCCTAAGTCCCATATTGATTTTGTTTCTATTACTGCTTAAGATCTGTACACCTATTATTTATCAGTTATACGGAACATTGCCTGGTTATATATGCAGAACTATTGGTAATTGTCTTTTATTTTCTTATTGTTTATCATTGTAATTTCTGCTCTGTATTGAATGGTTGCATTTTCTGCTAGTTTTATATTAGATTTTGTTTTTTATTTTAAAATTTTTTTCCAACCCATTCTGAAATCAATCCTCTTTCAGACCTTCGATCTTTCCTAGCAACATAGGCATCGTTTGGGACGGCTTTCTTGCTGTTTCTTAAAACAGCTTTATAATATACAAAGTTTAATTTTTAAACTAAAAAGCTGTTTCAAGAAGCAATAAAATAGCAGTCCTAAATGAACTATAGTTGAAATTTCTCAAAATTTTAAGATGGTTGGAGCAAGTTAAGTGGTTTATTCATTATTATTTGTTTTATGCAGCATCTGCATGTTGATGAAAAATCAAAGAACACATATTCTTTATGGGTTCGAAGTCTTCGGGCATGCATTTTTTTTCGCCCCAAGACATGAACAGACAGAAAACTAGCAAGATTATCCATGGCGCAGGTGCAACCAAATTGCTCTTCTGGCCTGCTGAAGACTTGTTTTCCTGGAGGTATGGCCATCCACTTGAATCTTGGTGCTGATGGTAGGTGGTAGGTAGGGTTTGAGAGAAGCTAAATTGGAATTTCATCCTGCAGTGAATTGCCCCTGTCACTGATTTTCCCATTAAAAAATGCAGGCAATGCCTCTGGAATATGCAAGAAGAAAATTTCATGCAGGCAGTGCCATCAATCTGTTTCCGAACCTTATTTTGAAGAGTAATTTGTTCTGCTTCATTAGCAAACTATATACTTAACATGCATTGTCGTCCCCAATGGGGTTGTTAGGGTTTCTCATTGATGGAGCTTATTGTATGTCTACATGAAGACAAACTTTGAAAGACATGCTAAACCCTAATTGTTGTTGTTATTTTGACTTCCTATGGTTAAAAAAATTTAAGATTTTCTTTGGGATATTTTTTTTTAAGTAATTTTTTAGTATAAAAATTTATAGTTCAGAAAAATTTTATATTAAAAAGTTATTTTAGAAAACAGTAAATAAAATTAAATTAGAGACAAATATTGTTAACTAAGATATTGGAAACTATCCTTTTGAGGAATTATCTTAATCATATATTATTGTTATTATGAAGGCCTAACTACCACATTCAAATAATATAATCTACTTGAATTCCTTTTTCAAGACATTAATTATTTTAACATATGTTAGTTTATCGGCTCAACCGAGCATCCTAAATATTCAGGGTTTTATACTCATAATGTATTTTCCATAAATTTTTATTAAATTCTTCAAAATTAAGCTTTGAAATAAATACTAATAATCAATTTTATTATTTATTTTTCTTTCTCAAGGTATTACATTTATTGCCCCCACAAATGAGAAATTATCATGCGTGGTCACCGAACGGCCCAGAGGAGAATTATAATATATCACGTCACTCGATAACGACAAGAATACAACAGTGGTACATAGCAAAAAATAACATGACGTGTTCTCATTCACCTCTAGATACCGGAACTTTTATTAGGTCAGGACACTTGACGTAGCTCTACATCCGGACGCCAATAAAATGTTGCCACGTCCTATTACTCTTTACCACGCGGCCCGACGACCTGACCCGGACCAAAACCCGGTATTACTATGTTCGTGTATTACTCGGTATTGCTTGGTATTGTGTGGCAATAACAAAAAATATTGCTCTTTCAAGACCAATACCAAGCAATACCTAACAAAACCAGGGTATTGATCAGTATTGGTCTTGACAGAATGGTATTTTTCGTTACCGAGCAATATTGAGCAATACCTAACTATACCCTGGTCTGTACAAATCAGCTAATACATAGCAATATTGGGTTCCGGTCCGAGCCGGGTCGTCGGGCCATTTGGTAGAGTAAGAGCACGTAGCAACATTTTATTGACGTCCGGATGTAGAGTTACGTCAGGTGTCCTAACCTAATAAAAGTTCCTAGATACCGTTTAGTAATCACATAGAGTAATTTTTTCTCCAAAAGGCTCTTGTGAAGCCCTCAAATATATATGTTTTTAATTTTTTTCTTTATTTTTACTTTTTATATTGCCGAATATTTTCAAATAATAATAGAATTAATTAGTTAAGAGGGAAAAAAAATTAAAGTAAAACTTATATATTCTTCTCGGAAATCCCCTCCCATAGTACGTAGTAGATCTGCTTCTCCGATCCGATACCCTCGTTCTAGTCTTCTAGAGTAGTAAATCTTGTTCGAGCCAAAACTTCTTGGCTCGACCGCCGCGAGTTCCGGCGATCTCTAATCTCATCTTCCTCAACCAATTTCTGCGACGAAATTGATATCAGCTTTACTACTTGGTAATGATGCCGCGGGTTCATGTTCGCTTGTCCTGCATTCAGTCGTATTCCTTTTTTTAATCTAGGGGGTTTATTTTTTGACTTCTTTTGACATAAAGATGTGGATTCTAGTTTCTTTTAAGTTCTTTCTTGAACAATTGAACAAGGAAAGATTCGAGGTAGGAGAGATGGAAGGTTATTTTCTGTCTGCCATGCACAACCATATGCTCATGACTATATTAGAAGTTAGCAATGGCATTGTGTCATTGGTTGATTTCTTGGTTAGGGTGACTGTGCATCATTTGTGTAGCACTCGAATGTTTTTTTTTTCTTTGATTGGAGAGAGAAAGCCAGTTAGGGATTTTTTATCTATAGGTAGGATTTTGTAAATCTTCTAGATCTGGATTCAGTAAATCCTCGATAACTTAAATGCTGAAAATTATCAGGCATGATAGGTGACTGTTTGGCAGAATATTTTCGAGATTTAAGATTTAAATGAAGGAGAAGAGATGATATAGTGAAGAGAAGTATTGTAAATCCCTTAATCCTACTCCCCCTAGTACTAAATTTGTAATATACCCTAAAACAGGAGGAAAATGAAATTTGAGAAGGTAGTATTATTTATGTGGCGCAAAAAATTGTCTGGCAAGAATTAGCAGAAACCATGGATAAATATTGGAACCGAAAAGCCAATATAATATTTTATACCTATTTTATGATAGTTTCCTATTCAAGAAAGTGGTGCTTTCTATGCGTTATTGTGATACAATCTAACTTATTCTTTGCATAATTTTACTTTTAAAAAATGTCTAATTGTTTAGTCTTTCGTTAGATTCACCTGTCTAATTCTTGTTGGATAATTATTCTATTAATGCTGAGGGAATGGTTTTTAGACGCTAATATTAGCCTATGATGATTTTGTTATGTGATTTTAGACAGTGGCTGGCTCTATGAGAATTAAGTTAACTCTTGTATGAAACCACTTTCTTTGTTAAATGGCTTGCTTAACACATGCATAAACATGCTAACCCAAAATACTTAAACAATTACCCACGGTAAACATTGCAAAATAATAATAATAATAATAATAAAAAAGGGAAAATGGGAATCCCCAATTTGAACATTATGATGCATGTAAAAGTATGAACTCTTTGATTTGATTAAAATATTTAAGAAATAAATGAGATATTCAGGATTGCGATGCTTACATAGGAATCATATGCATGAGTCATGTAATGAAGCTATGGGAGAGAATAATGGAGTATAGAACATGAAAAACTAAAGTCATATTCTAAGAATCAATTTGGTCTCATGTGAAGATCTTTTATGGAAGTGATTTTTTTTATTAAAATAATTAAAGAAATATTTAGAGAGTAGAAAATGATATTTATATAAATATACTTTGGATCATAACGAAAACCTTATTCAAATTTCATAGTTTGTTTTACTGTTGCTGCAACAATAACCATGCAAGAGTGTTTGCTGCTTCCTATTTTTCCTTGTCATTGAGTTGTTGCTCATTGATTCTCCATTCTCCTATTGAGCTATTCTTTTTTTAGAGTACTCGCCATTTTTTCTTGTCCTCCAGTTTTCTTATACGCTTCTCATTGATTATTGTTATTAGTGTTAGTAAATTATCATTTACAAGATTTTTTTTTCAAAAATCCTTCTCGATTCCTCATACTCATAGTCTCTCTCACTTCAGCCTGCCCACCTTTTAGTTCTTAGCTCGCTGCTCAATTTCTTGATTCTTAATTTTTAACTATTCTTTGACCACTTTATTATCTTATCTTTTTTTTTTCACATAGCTAGAAAATATTTTTATTTAATATATCATTATATTTATTAAAAACTGTTACCTGATGTGGTTTAAGTTTGGTTGACTAACTGATCTATTTTATGCACATAATATATATTTATACAATATACAAGTCGAGGATGCTTTATTTCATAAAAGTGTTGCTTCTTTTTATGGTTTACGCATTAAAGCAAAAAAGTAGTGGTTTACGGGAATGTGCAAAAAGCATTAATCAAATTTTCTGTGTATGTGCAATCAAGTGTGAGACTTCAAGAATTTTGGGATAGATTATCTCTTGATATAAGTATGAGGCTTGCCTTTTTAGAGACTTAATTGTTTTTTATTTTTTTCCTCTCCTCTTTCTTTTTCTTTTTTTGGTTGTATTAGCTAAAAGTGAGATTTTGTTTAGTTAGATTCACTATAACTTAGATTTTGGTCGATTTCATGAAATTTCAACCAAGTGCATATGATGTGAAACATTCAAGAATTGCACATGAAATTCATTAAGAATCACAAAGTTTGCCAAAGTAAGATTAGGCCCTTCGTAAATTAAGATTCAAGCATTTTCCATTGATGAAATGTTATGATAAGCAGTTTCAAGCTAGTATTTAGGCACAATTAATGATGAATCTCCAAAAGTTCACAACAAAGCAAATGCGGAAAATTAATAAAATCCCACGACTAATGTTTAGAAATTTCACAATGAGCACCTTGATCACTCACACTCAATTCGGGTTAGCGGGAGAAGGCCTTTAGCAAACTCAACGATGCCACGAAGATGGTGGCCACACCAATGACCTTTAGCCACGGAGAGGTTGACGGTGACGAGGAGGGCGTGAATGCTTGGCTTTCGAGACTCCAAGTGTGCTTCGAAAGTTGTCGGTCGTAGATGCTTGCAAGGATCGGGACGACTCTCTCCAAGTACTCTTCCACGGTGGTTTCGTCTTCAAATCTTGATGTAGAGGAATTCTTCCGATGGGAAGGGAGCTAGGAGGCAGTGAGGGAGAGTCCTTGAGTTGAAAGGAGGAGGAGGAGGTGGGGAGGGGAGCCGACGGGATTTCCAAGGGAAAAGGGGAGCTCGGCCACGGTTGGGAGAGGGGGGGGGGGATGTTTGGTGGAGAGGAATTTAGGTAGGGTGAATGAACCAAGAGATTTACTAAAATCTGAAATTAATTTCAGGTTTTAGTAAATTTGGAGGGAATTACTTGAAGAGAATTTCAAATTCAAACAAAGTAATTAGGTCTTTAATGAGCCATAATTTCAAATTTGAAACTTGTGGGTGGAAGGGGTCGGGTGGATGAAGGGGCGTCACCGGCAAGGTGGCCGGAATTTGGGTGGCGGTCGGCGGCGGGTTCCTCACAGGGGCGGCGGCAATATGGGGGGAAGGATTCCTTATGGAGGAGAGGGAAAGGAGATGGATGGGATCACGATCGAGAAGATAGAAAATTCTAACGACGAATCGAGGACTCTTCCAACGATTGGTGGGCCTTGTGATTTGCACCCCCTTGGAGCTCTCTCTCTCTCTCTCTCTCTCTCTCTCTCTCTCTCTCTCTCTCTCTTCTTCAAGCTCTCATGCAAGAAGGCAAAGAAGAACAAAATAGATTTTCATTTCAATCATCATTTTCCATAATACAACATGAAATGACCTATATATAGGTCCCAACACAAAAGAAAATACAATGACTCTATTGCCCTCGGGGCTACACTCATGACTCAGCTTATACTAAGGGTACAATAGGAAATAAAAGAAAAATGCATAAAAGAAATACATAAATAACTAGAAATATAAACTCTGAATCGCGGCCGTCGATCTGCGCTGTCTACGGCGATACACATGTCTGAACCTCTGGTCGATGTCCACATCAGCATAGTTTTGAGTATTATTCTTATATTCGTCAGGCCGATCCCACATCGTGGGATAAAGGCTTGTTGTTGTTGTTGTATTCTTATATTCGTCAGGAGGTGTAATTGTATGTTATTTTTATAAGGGATAAATAATCTAAAAGAATTCTTTGAAATATATACTATGTCTCATTTCCACCGAGTTGATTTTGCTAAAATAAAATTCATGTTCATGGGGATTTGCCCAAATATTTTGGTGAATAGTTTTAAATTAAACCTATATTTTTTATTTTTGAATTATAAAGATGATGTAGGACTACATGCACATATGATATTATTAAATTTGAAATTACACGCTCATGAAAATAACAATAGTAATTAATCAACTTCCCATGTATTAAACAAAAGATTGAAGCTAAGAAGATAGTGATTAAGCTTAGACAATCAATTATATGATAATATTAGGAGCACAAAATAATCAAATTAAATGAAACCCTGCTGATGTGGGGCTTTCAAAGAAAATCTCTTGGTTAACAATTAGAATAGTCACTATAAGTATCCACTCACACACACTCATAATAAGGGCTAAGCGGAGAAGCCTTCATAATTTTAACGATGCCACAATCGAGGAGGAGTTAAAGATAAAAGATTTAGGAGAAGAGTTCACCATTAACAAGCTTCTGGACTTTGCTGCAGCATTCTCCAGGATCAGGCTGTTGATCGTCTGTGGATGCACTATGAAGCAAACACACCTTGTAGTCGACAAGGGATTGAATTGCCGGAATGGTTGGGGTGTGGCCGGCCAAGGGTGGAGGATTTATTTCTCCTTCTTAGGTGAAAACATCAAGCAAAGGAGAAGAAGTGTAGAGAGAGGGGGGGGGGGTGTGCTTGTGGATTGTCTTAATTCCTTACTTGGGGTGATGAGTAAGGAAGGGCAGCAAATAGGAAACTCTTAATTTAATTCCAGCAATTAACAAAATTATGGAATTGATTTCTTGTCTAGGTGGCATGCAAATTAAGACAAGAATCAATTGGGGTTTAGTAGGAATTAATGGATGCTTTAAGTGGAGGAGAGATTGAGGGAGATTTGATTTTGAATGTCCATAAATTAGAGGTAGGGAGGGAGCGGCACACCCTATTGGGGGGGAATTGATTAGGGAGCACTAATAGGAAAGTAACAATTAGAGGAGAGAGGGGTGGGACGGCAAGGCTAGGGAAAGGGAATTAATATGAGGGTTTAAAGAGGTTGCTAAATTTAGGACACTAAATGAGGAAGGAAATTTAGGGCAACCTCTATTCAAATTAATGTTAGCATCATTGGGGAAACCTTCCTAACATAACTCTTCTCATTTGGGAAAGAAATTTTAAATTCAAATTTACTTGAATATGAAATTATTGACTTTTCAAATTTATAATGAGCAAAGCTAGAAAGTATTGAATGCTAGGTTTGAAATTTTGGGAGTCAAGGGGAAGGGGTGGTGGCCGGGGCTAGGAAGGAGGTGGAACTGGAGGTTTGGTGGGGGTTGGCCAAGAGTTGCGGGAGAGGGAGGCCGACGGTTGGTTGGACCGGTAGGTGGAGATGGGGTGGGGTTTTCAGCCAAGAGAAAAAAGGAGAAAGGGGAGCGGCGGCTAGGGGAAAAGGAGGGGAGGGAAGTTGGCGAAGGAGATTGACCGTGAGCCCGAACGCTTCCTGCGACTGACGGGTGATGCCTTGCCCTAACCTAGGGACTTCAAACTCTCACAACTCTCCAAGAAACAAGGTGCATAATTTTTTTTATAATCATCCTCTCCAAAGAGGGGGAGGGGTCTATAAATAGCCAAAATACAATAACATGCCTAATGAAAAAAGTGCCCCTTGGGGTCACATAAGCCTACTCCCTCAAGTGATGGTAAAAACAGAAAAGATACATAAATAAATGAAATACAAATAAAAACTTAGAAATAAAGTGGTCCAATCATAGCTGTAGATCTTCGGCTCCTTCTCTGATAAATTTTCCACGGTCAGATGTCCTTATCAAAAGATCAATTGGATGGTCAATTTAATAACTTAAAACAAAATGAATATCATGTATTTCAGTATTATCTTTGGTTTGAAAATTTAATAGCTAAATATTATTTTCCATGAGATTATTATGCTTTCAATATATGTTTCATTAAAGATCTAATTCAATAAATTAAATATGAATTAAGTTATACTTTTCCCAAAATGTTAGCAGGCTTATTACATGCCTTTAAAGCTTGAAAAATATTACAGTCATTCGCCTGCTAGGACTATTGCAGCTTTGTTTAATATTTCTAAAAAGTTTATTAAACACACAGCAAAAATAGCATCATATATAGTCATATTTGATTCAATTGAAGAATCCACATGTCAAAAGTACGTTATTGGTGCATAGATAGCCCACATATGATGATTCTTGAATATCCCCATATGCTCAGTTATGTTGAAAAAGTACAAACTAAACAATAAATGTTCATTGAATTTTTCTACGTTAGGTAGAATTTTTTCTGGGTTGGAGTTGAATATGCTGTTCTTTTTGTTATTAGGACTACAGCGAAAGTTGAGATTTGCGGCTCCTTTTACATTTCATTTTTTAGGACTAAGGTACACAACAAGCTTGCTTGTCTACTGTGACATCTATGATTTCTAGCTTTCAGTTACTCGGGAAGTCAATGCCCCATATTATTCAAAATAATTTGTTAAGAATATGTTTAATACCTTAAGCAACACTTCGGAATGAATAAAAAAATAGGATTGATTAAACTGATGCCAAATAGTTGGGATAAGGCTAAAGATGACAATGATATAGAAAAAGTATATTAGATGTTCCATGTTGAACCAATGGGCTGCTCTTTTAATTTTCCTCTGAACTCACATGGCCATGGAGTCCAGGTTCTAAACCTATTGAAATGTCCCTTTTTATAAAGTATGTATGATTTCTATAGCCAGTGGATTCATGCTAAATTAGAATCCATGTCTTGCTTGAACAGGTCATTGCTCTTCAGAAGGCTGAATTTAATATTAGAGTGACAAAATGGTTTCTTTTGAGCTTAATGACACAAAAAGTAAGAATTCTCTGCTTGAGATGTAATTTGCTTCTCTTGTCAATGCTTGCAGTTGCTGTCATATTTTATAAGCTTACACCTATGTGTATTGCGGCAAATTGTAGGAAACAATACTGACCATATCCCGTCATAACTTGGATTTTTCAGCACGTGTTTTTTAACTGTTGAATATTGTTATTTGTTTAACAATTTTTTTTTTTCAAATTTCTGATACTCAATGTGGATGGGTATTGTTCTTTGACGGGCAATTTCCCATGTAATAGTCAAACCTTGCTTATTTATAAAATTGTTATCTTGCTATCTGTTATTTCCATTCGTTAAATTCTATCAACTATCAAAATTTATAAAAAAATTTCTAACTCGTATGTTTTGCTTTTGTTAAATTTTCAATAATTTGATTGTGAGATAACCAAATGCATAGGTTCAATAGTTTAATTTTTGGGAAGTGCTATAATTGTAAATTTGTCACTTGAAAATTTTATGGTAGGCCTTTAAGGGGAACTTTTGGTTGAGTTGTTATAGTAAGTTTGTTTCTTTAGGTATGTTATTGTTTTTTTATTTTTTTGATACTTCCTATTTTGTTGCAATATTCATCTTGGCCATATTTTTATGCTGATTTTGAAAAAAATTGTATTATTGGTTAAAATTGCCCTGATCTTTTTTAAACAACTCTCCCCTGTTATTTTTTACTCAAATTTGGTAGTTCTTTTACTTCTCAAGAACGTCTCCAAATTTGTTACTCATTTTCGTATGAGTAAGGAACAATTGAATGATTTTGTTTTTTTACAACCCTAAACTTCAACGATGTTAAGATACGAATAGAAAAGAATGCGGAGTGATATGCAATTTATTCTTATTTTAACAATGTTCATGGGGTGGCAGAGAAGCAGAGGGGTAGAGAACCATGAAGTGAGATGAAATAATTGAAAACAGATCATGTAAGAGGAAAAAATATAAATATGGTGAAGAAGGCAGAAGAGGTGCTACTTGTCTTGTAAGTTAGGATGAGATGAAAGATTGATTATGGGAGGAGTTGGAATATGTTGGAATCTAGCAGGCCACTTTGATGCCCTTATTGTATCCGTATTTTTGAAGTTTGCCAAATAATATATACCTCCAAGGTAATAAACTTAAAATGAGTAACCATGTAAGGTCATTAAAACTGTTTACAGGTTTTTTTTTTCCTTATAGAGGTCGATGACACTTGGTTTTTGTTAAATAATGTGACCTTGAAATCTATGATTGTGCTACTGAGAGACTAGCTATGTCCTTCCGTAGTTTATTTGAATTGAATATTTTTATGCCGTTATACGACCTATAATTGTATTATAAATTTTGCTTCTTTCTTTTATCAGCTAATTCTTTCTGCTTATGATACAGAGATTGGCATAGGACTGACAGGGTTTGGTGTCTTTTTCTCCTTTTTGGGAATCATTTTCTTCTTTGATAAGGGGCTCTTAGCCATGGGGAATGTGAGTCCTTTATTATAATGAGTATATTTTCATTTTTATCAGCTTTACATGAAAATGTTTAAGAGCTATGTTCAATGTTTCTCCTTCCTCTTAAATGACAGATCCTGTTCATAGCCGGATTGATGCTAACCATTGGATTGAAATCTACCATGTTGTTCTTTGCTAAGCCTAAGAATTACAAGGTTCATTCTTGAGGAAGATACTGCCAATTTCTTGAGAAATTATTATGTGCGGACACCGAATGACGTCCAAAAACCAATAAAAATACAGTATGTCACCATTTTACTGTACGGCATCTCGGTACTTACTACTCGGAACTAGGTTCCGCTCGGTACTGTGGCTTTGCGTCCGGCGTCCGCACAGAATAATTTCTCCAATTTCTTTATGTACTTCTTTCTTGCCTCTTCATTGAGTACTCTTTTGACAGGGTACAATTTCATTTGGTGTTGGGTTCTTCCTACTCTTGATAGGATGGCCTTTCTTTGGCATGATTTTGGAGGCATATGGTTTTATAGTTCTCTTCAGGTTGGTAAACTATTTATCACCACTGATGTGGTAACTACAGCTCTGGTTAGTTTTACTGCTGTATAACTTAATTAGTTTCCAGCTCCGATTAGTTTAGTTGTACTTTCTTTTACTTCATCCTCTGAATCTTTCAAAGCATGAGGCTTGACAATATTTTACAGTGGATTTTGGCCTACAGTAGCAGTTCTCTTGCAGAGGCTTCCAATTCTTGGGTGGATTTTTCGGCAGCCTGCCGTGACATCGGTACGAAACATTTTTTGCCTCTAAGTACATTGACCGCCATCACCACCACAACACCACTGCAACCTCCACTATGGAAGGCCTCCGTTTAATGTGACCAAACCATCTAAGGCGACTCTCTCTAATTTTATCTTCCACTAGAGCTACTCCAATCTTTTCACGTATATGCATCAATAATATGAAAAGTTAAAATTAAGATCAAAGAATTAGAAATGAGAAGGGGTAGATCAAAGACAGTATGGATAGAAATTATATAAATAAGATTAGTATTCAACACTCGGTAGTAGCAAAATGAGGAACAAAAGGGGAACGGGGATTCATTAAACCGGCTGTAAAATATTAGGGTTAAGGGTAGTGATGATAACTGTAAATGATGACGATGATGATGATGATGATTTACCTGCACTGAAAATGTTTTCAACTTTGTGCAGTTCTTTACTGGTTACAGAGGAAAGCGTGTACCTGTGTGATTACTAACAGTGGGGACAAATACCTCCTAGCCTGTGCTACAAATGCCAAAAAAATATAAAAATAAAACAATAATATTTGGAAGAATGCTCCACTTTTATTCTAGATAGCATGATAAAGCGTGTATCTGTGTGATTACTCCGTTTTTCCAATCTGACTTGTTCATTGTACAGTATTCCTATTTTTTTTTAATCTCAACAAAGTTTGTTTACCCAATTTATGTTGGTAGAAAACTTATGGTTTGGCTTTTGAGAAAAAGTTTCTTTTCCCCAGTTCTAATATAGGTTTTAGAAAGAAAATGTTTTGTTGTTCAACTCGGAATAGTATATATTTATAAAGGAAAATACTTCTAAGTTCTAACTAAGAGGTCATGGGTTTGAAGCTTGTATATGTGATGTGTGAGAATTTAATTTATGATTTAGGTTTCATTTGAGATAATTTTTTTATCGGTTTGCTTTTTAGAATCTAATCATAGTTTTTGTTTGATAATTATTACTTTTTTTACTATTTTTAATAATATTTTAGAAAGTTGCTTTCTACGGCGGCTTAAATTTTATTTTTTTTCATAGTAGCTTTACAATTACCTTTTCTTGAATCACACTGCGAGGGGGCCCATAGCTTTAACAGAGTCAGTAATCTGTGGGTTGTAGTTGGAGATTTTCTCTTCTGACATCAAAATTCGTAGGCTTGATTCCAAGATTTGTGGGATATAATTATTAGAATCAATTAAATTAAATGATTCTCCTCTTCTGTTTATTATAATTAATACCGCCTAAATTATTTTTGCTTGATAAATAAGAATGCATTTATTATTAATTTTTTTAGATATTCAAATTTAATAAATAAAATAAAAATTATTTAAATAATATTAATAGTTATTCGAGCCAGCTCGAGCTCGTGGCTCGATAAGCTCGACTCACAAGCTCGTTAACGAGTCGAGCTTGCGAGCAAACTCGGCTCACTTACACCCTTACATGAGACATTACACTCCTTCATGACTATTAACCTTATCATTCAAATTTAGAAGTTAAGGTTGTTGATGGCTCAACATCCAAAGTTTTGAGAACTGGTTCCTCTTTTGTCATATAAGCTTTCACCCTTAATTAGTGTTTTATGTGCCCAATATTAAGTGCAACCTAATTTTTAATAGTAAATTGACTTGTGATAGTAATTACTTAACAATTTTCTCCAATAATGTATGTATTTTTTAGGAATTGAATTTAGAGAAGTAGATTGGCAGTGTTGAGATGTGTTCTGGATTATACTACATTAAGACATCCAAATTCTTAATTGTTGTTAGGAATCATCTTATTGTGAGTCAGTTTGTTGAGACTTTAGAGTCATTCTAGAGTCAATCAAGATAGAGAAATCATCATGTGGCATTATAAGTTTGGCCATCCAAAGTTCATGTATATGGAATAGCTTTTTCCCCATTTATTTATTAATAAAAAATTCAAGTTTATTCAAATGTAAAACTTGAACATACTAGATCATCTTACCCAATTATTCTTTACCAACATTCTAAACCCTTTGCCTTGATCCATATCGATATTTGGGAACCCTCAAAAGTTAAAAATATAAGTGGTGCAACGTGGTTTGTGATATTTATTGATGATTATATTAGACTCATCTAGGTTTATTTAATGAAGGAAAAATTTAAAATTGAAAGGATATTCAAATCATTTCAATTGATGATTCAAAACTAGTTTGATACAAAAATTTAAATCATAAAGTCAGACAATGAGAGAGAGTACTTTCATTCTATCATGAGAGAATATCTATCAAGCCAAGGGATAATCCAAGTTCGTTCATGTACGTGCATATATGCCTCAACAAAATGAGGTAGTTAAGAGAAAAAAAAAGGAGTTTTTATTCTGTACGGACGCCAGATGGGAGAACCGTCTGGTTAAGCACTGGGTACCCAGCGTATAAATCATCCCCTTTTGAATTTAAGAACAACCCATTGTTTATTATGTTATAGCTAATTATTAAATATATGATGTTCCAATGCAATGGGTTCTCTTTGTAACTTTTTTTTCTTTAAAATTTATTATGAATAAATAAATTAAAATTTGTCTATCTTCTTCTATGCTTAGCATGTAGAATTGGGCCACTTGTATGGAGAATTTCAATATGAGTCATATTTAGATTATGCTAGATTAAATTTGTCCTCCAATAAGGTAGGTCTTAAATGATAGTCTTCTTAGTCCAATTATTATTAACTCAATAACTTAAGGGTCTGCAATTAAATAACCTAAAAATATGAAAAGTGTTTAAAAAAATCAAAATTTTGTTTGAAGTATAGCGCAACGGCACTGTGCTTTTGAGCGCTAATAGATCCGACAGCGAGGGGGTCCATAGCTTAAAATTTAAAAAAAAATGTCAAAACCGTTCCTCAGCATGTCGCATGTTGTTCATCTTATAACCAACTTCTCGATCCTAAAAAAAATCTCAAAAAATAATGATTTTATTTTTGCATTATGAAACTTTCATTTTTTTTAATATAATTTGAATTCTGATAACAATTTTCGTCAAGTATATTAGCAAGCTGCTTTACAGTATCGGTTAAAAAATATCATTGTAAAGCAACCTGCTAATGTAGAAACCTATTATTTGGCTGCATTTCAGATTGAAATATTTTTGAGTTAGAATATTATGATACAAATTATTTTAAGATGAATTTTAAAATTATTGAATTTCATTTAGGATTATTTGATACAAATTATTCTTATTTATAATATTAATTTTAAAATAAATTTAATGATTTTAAGGTTATCATGATGTAATATTTATTAAAAATATGTGAAACAAAGGGTAAAACTAGTGGTTAACAACTCTTTTCATTAGCAATAAATAAATTAAAAATTTCGCTCTCTCATATGTAAAATGCGATAACAAGATTTTATCTTGGATCTATTGTTGAAAGTGATGGTGAAATATATGATATTATTAGTAAAGTTCAAGTTGGTTGGTTTAAGCAGAAGAATGAATAGGGCCTATTGTGTGATAGAAAAGCACCCCTTAAATTTAAGAGAAAATTCTTGTGATGGTGGTGAGACTTGCAATGTTTGATGATGCAGAATATTGGCCATTAAAAAAAGCGTAAAATTAAGTTTAAGTGTTGCAGAGATGAGGATGATTAGATGCATGAGTGTTGTTCACTCGTAGAGACAGAATGTGAAATTAATATATACGTAAAAAAAAGGTTGGAATAGCTCCAGTGGCAAATAAGATTAGAAAGAGCCACCTTAGATGATTTAGACACATAAAACGTCTCTCTTTCCTGTTAGGAGAGTATATGTATTAGATTTGGCCAATGTTAATGACTCCCTTTTTTTTATGATGTAAACTACGTATTTCAACGTGTATTTAAGCTTGCATCCCAATCATGTGAGTATTCATTCTTTAGTCTGTGCACCATCTTTTTATTCATCAACTCCTCAATCCTGTTTTTTTGTGGAATCTATATAAATCATCCCCTTTTGAATTTAAGAATAACCCATTGTTTATTCTGTTATAGCTAATTATTAAATATATGATGTTCCAATGCAATGGGTTCTCTTTGTAACTATTTTTCTTTAAAATTTATTATGAATAAATAAATTAAAATTTGTCTATCTTCTTCTATGCTTAGCATGTAGAATTGGGCCACTTGTATGGAGAATTTCAATATGAGTCATATTTAGATTATGCTAGATTAAATTTGTCCTCCAATAAGGTAGGTCTTAAATGATAGTCCTCGTAGTCCAATTATTATTAACTCAATAACTTAAGGGTCTGCAATTAAATAACCTAAAAATATGAGAAGTGTTTAAAAAAATCAAAATTTTGTTTGAAGTATAGCGCAACGGCACTGTGCTTTCGAGCGCTACGATGCTAAGTTGGAGATCACAACGGCTCCAAAAAATGTCGCTGCGTCGTTTGAGTCTTTGTTCTGCAGTACTTCTGGATTCAACATACATCGCTGCGGCTCTAGGTCATGAACAATATTTTTATATATATTTAATCATAAACTCTAAGCAATCAACGCCTAAGCCTCTAGCTTGCTGCACAATGAAGAGAGAGAAAGGGAGAAAAAGGAAAAGATAAGGAGGAGAGAGAAAGGTGTTCTGGGCATTTTTATCTGTTGATTTTGTTCTGAGATTTGTTATAATCTTTGTAAGTAGCCCAAATCCATTTTAGTTTTAAATGATTTTGAGTTTGATATAATTCTTCTTTCCTAAATTGATTAAAATAAAATATACTCAAGCATCATTAATTTAACAAATAACTCCGAGTGATGGAAGCTACCATGGTTTTTTAGCTGTGCGCAGTAATTCATAAGATTTTAAGGCTTCAATGTTGGGAGGTTCTTCAATAGATTTTATAATTTACAGATCAATTGCATTGAATATAATTTCTTCATTTCCGACGAAATTTCTAACATAAATTTAGTAGGAAATTAGTTTACTTATTTCTACCGAAAATTTTGCCCAAAATATTTTAGAAATTTCTGATAGCTTCGTTGATTTTTTTTTTCTCGATGATTCTGGTGTCTCAATTCTTCCGGTATGATCGCCGAAAATTTTTTATTTTACGTCAAAAATTTTTATTTTATTTTATAAAATTAGCTAAATAAATTGAAGTAATAATTATAATATTGAGGTATTATTTATTTGACAAAAAATAACAAATAGGTAAGGGAGAGGAGTTAAGAGTTGAAAGAGAAATTGACAATGCAAGAGGAAAGATTATTTGTCCGATAGTAGATTACTATGAGGCGAGTATTGTTTCACAAATCACTATAAAAAATATGACTATTGCAGCACTATTTTTGCCTTATTCCGACGGTTATAACCATCATAATTTTCCTAGCAGCAGTTAAAACTGGTACAAATACCATGCGAGAGAGAAAGGGGATTGATCTAGAAGCTAGCGTCAAACCAGCATAAGAGCTAGGTTTTACGGTATAGCAGCGGTTAAAACATGTGGTAAAACCAGTGCAAATACCATGGGTCAAAACTGCTGCAAATATCTCCTTTTGACTGCGGTTTTCAAACCGCTCCTAACAAGTGCTATGAAAAATCATATTTTTTAGTAGTGAATAGAGAGAAATTGTGGAACATAAAAAAATTAGACCTAGAACATAGCCGGTTGATTTATTAGACTGGTGCTAATCTTCGATAACAAATCATATCACAAATATAGTATTCATGTAATGCACAAAGCATGATAAACTTGGTTGTTTTTTATTTACTTCACCCACATTATGATTACATTGATTCAAATATGGTGCAATGACGAAAAATCTTACCTAAATACATCTGATAATTTCAAAGATAGATCAATCACAGATAATATAGAATATTATTACAAAAATTAAATTAAAATTAATTAAAAGAAAAATTACTTTAATTTGCAATAAAGATACGTGATTCTCCCTTTTAAACAAATGATTGAATGTATCAAGAAAATGTGTGTTCCATCCAACTTAGTTGGTAATCAAGATCATAAAAGTTTATGCCAATATTCTGAAACTAAATTCAATTATATATATAATCCAAATTAAATAGGGAGATGTGATGGCCTACGCAACAAAGAGCTACCGTCCAATATTTCCCACCAAATACATATTCCATTTTATCCTCTTATATTATTATGCTTTCCACTTATTCTCTCTTACTTATATTAAATTCCCCTTAAAATCTTAAGAAGAAAAGAAGAAGTAGAAGAAGAAGAAGGTGGAGGAGAAGAAGAAGAATAAGGAGAATATCTCTTCTCTCTCCTCTCTCTCTCCTCTCTCTCTTTCTATTTAGCTTCATGCATGCATGCCTATATACTAACTATTTTTGTATTGAAAGAAGAAGAGATTTAAGTGATTAACAAAGATGGGGAGTATGGAGAGAGTTAAGGTTCCTATGAGCATGCTGCTTGTTCAAACATTCACAACAGGGATGATGCTTCTCTCAAAGGTGGTGCTAAGCAAGGGAATGTTTGTATTCTCTCTCTTAGCCTATCGCAATGCCATTGGTGTCCTCTTCGTTGCTCCATTGGCATTCTCATTTGAAAGGTTAGATATTCTCTTGTCTTTTGTTATGCATAAAGTTTAATCAACCATAGTAAATGTATGGAGCTTTGAGATCTACTATCTTACTATGTTAGAATACTGATGTAGTCATTTGTGTACGTTGAGAGAGATCTGCAAAAGACTTAGGCTTCATTTGGGACGGCTTTCTTAATGCTTCTTAAAGCAACTTTTTAGTCAAAAATTAAAAGGAAGTTGTTTAAGAAGCAGAAAGAAAGCTATCCCAAACGAAGCCTTAGCTTGAAAATATATTTAGTCCCATTTGATTGCAGCATTGATTGGAATATGACATTAGCCTAATTAGTCCAAAGTTGTTAATTTTTTTGGTTGGTGAGTTGATAAAATATACTTATGTTCCACTAATTATTGGCAAAGTCAAATTTTTATTAGCAACTGTGAGATTTGGTGAGCTTAACTTTGATTTTAGTTATTGTGAGTGCTCATAATTTCCAAGGCATTGGGCCCTATATATTGATTGTAGGAAGTGAGGAAGACTTATGGAACACACATTTTGAGTATAAGGGATGTTTGTATAAAATTTGGTTTTGTTTAATCTTTTGATGAAAAAAATAGTAATTTTAAAATATCATAGAAGATTCTTTATCCTTTTTAATTTTATAAATTATGATGTCTAATGTTGATCTTATACTTAGATTTTTAAATTCCTGATAGTACTAATTTCATATTTATATATAGTTCATTATTTTATTTCTATAAAAAAGTACTTGTTGCGGGAATTGGGAAAATTTGACTCCATATGTATAATCATACACGTAATTTGTTAAATATCTTCGATGTTTATTCTTTTGGAAAAATATTGCTAAAAAATTCATTTCGTATGAAATTGTCTCATCTATATCTGCTTATGGAGGTTTTCCACAAATGAATTTGGCTAGAATTGGTTCAAATTCGAGCATAGAGTGAACCTCCATTCAAACGTGTTCTTGAGTTTCCATGAGCTCTCCTATTACGCTATACGCATCATTAATTCTTCAATCCCTTCATTATAAAATCCTCTTTTCCTTCGCTCGTTGTTGGTTCTACAATGCCTTCCCCAATGTGATATATTCCAGTTGTTGTTAGTCTTGTAATGCCTTTTTCGTGAACCCTTTGACAATACCTTCCGCACAATTAGAACAAGGCGTTAAAAAAACCCTTTGAATCAGTTCCAACTAAAGTTCAAACAAAGTTCAAATTCGAATTGATTTGAACAAGTTACGAACGACTTGAGTCCAATGAAGAGTCCACAGATGAAGGAGTTATCGCTCATAGCAATAGTTTTATTTTAAATGATTTTTCAAACATATTTCATCGACAAAATAAATAAGGAGATATTAAGCCAATTACATGTATTATTGGTATTAGAAAAATAATTTACATTTTTAACCAAATACTATTTTCTCTTATCATTTATCCTCATATTATAATTTTTTTTTTCTTTTGAAAGCTCATTTAATTTATTTTGATTTTTGGTTGAGAAAAATCAGAGAAATGGGGAGAAAGCTTACTTACAAAGCTCTGATGTGGATCTTCATCAATGCTATGTTCGGGTGAGTAAAATTTTCTATATGGAAGTATAGAAAAGTTTTATGATATTTATTATAAATATTTACTTATATGAACATTAAAAAAAATTATTATTATTATTATTATTTTGATGAAAAATCCGAATACAATTTTCAAACTACACCAAATAAAATAAATAATTGCTATGTGGCAGAAGAATTTCATTTTCAACCGTTTGAATTTAGAATTTAGATGTTCGATTAATGCCACGTGTTATGTTAGCTCCCCTTAATATCACCTCCACTACTAATTGCTTGTTCAAACAGCGCACGAATCTTAATGCTAAAAAATTCAATTGTCGGCCATTGTGCATCACGTGGAGTTATCAATTTCAAATGAAATTATTGATCTTAACAATTCAAACTAAATTAAATGACTCTAATTAATTAATACAAATGCTGCAATCATAATGATAATTAGAGAGGATTAAAGCCAATTTTTAACACAGAAATTTTTTCGAGAGATCTTCATAATCTTAAGTGTGTATAATTAATTACCTCTTTAATTAACATGACATCTAACAAAAATTTTAATTAAGGACATCATTATGCTTTAGTTAATGGTGTGTATGAAAGCTATGGATGAAAATTAACGATTAATCCGATCAAGATTTCATAATTTTGTCGTCTCAGTATATCAGAGCTTTGATGAATAATTAAAGTATGTGCGCTTTGTATTACTATCGAGGGGAGGATTTGGCTTGGAGAAGGAACCTCTTATGGTTCTCAAACACTAGAGGTGGAGCGAAGAAGTTTCGTGGTGTGTGAGAGAAAGTCAAAGGGTCTTTTACTTGCTTCTTGACATAGTACTCGTTGTATCTTTTGCATGCATGGATCTGTGTTTTCTTGTCAAAGTGTGCCACTAATTAGGAAGATAATGAAAAGGACTTGAGGCTATATTGATAAATTACTTTATATTTATGTGCTTATTAATGTGAGGTATCATGACATTAAATTTAGCTTGATTCTCCATAGGGTTTGCCATGCTATATTATGAATCAAGTATATGTCGGGGGTCCAAGGAGGCAGCGCCCGCTGGCGGGGTTCGACCTTACATTGCCTCTCAGAGGACCAGCTATTGATATTGATGAAAATGACACTTGTACGTGATATTCAAGAAGATAGTTTCATAAGAGAATATTAAAAAAAAGGGTTTAAGCATAAAGAGAAAGATGTAGAGGATGAATGAGAGGGATAGAAGCAAAATTTAATCCCACAACTTGAGGGCTCAAATTGAGATTTTTTTCTCACAAACCTCTTTAGTTGGCTAGGATTCTTGAGGAAAAGAATTTCTCACTCTACCATTATCCATTAACATTATTTAATAGAGAAGAAAAAATAACTTTTAGTACAAAAATTTTTTTGAATCATAAATTTTGTACTATAAAGTTACTTTAGAAAGTATTAAGAAAGCTGTCCCAAATGAAGCTTAAGGTTTTGTTTGGGATAACTTTCTTATTGCTTCTTAAAGAAGCTTTTTAATATAAAAGTTTAAATTTTTGTACTAGAAAGTTGTTTTATGAGGCATTAAAAAAGTCGTCCCAACCGAAGTCTAAAATGAGCTTACAAATCATTTAATATATTTTCAAATAAAGAATTTGTACAGCATTAATCTAAAAAAAATTAAATAATTTTTTAAGTCCATCATAATATAATTTATTTTGAATATATATGATTTTTACACTAAGATAATATTTTTGATAAATATTAATATTTGTTGTCTTATATTCCTTTTTTATTTTTACAGAGTCACACTGGCAATGAGTTTGTACTATTATGGGCTAAAGGACACAACTGCAGCATACTCTAGCAATTTCTTAAATTTGATTCCTATTATCACCTTTATTATCGCAGTAATTCTTGGGTAAGTATCTAAATTCAAAATTACATTTTTATCCATCATATCAAGAATTTAATTACAATTGAATTTTTTTGTAATTCTGATGATTGTTTATATATAGGGTGGAGAGACTGAGAATTAGAAGCTCAGAAGGAAAAATAAAGCTTGTGGGAGCTCTCTTATGCGTGGGAGGCGCAGTAGTTTTTGGAGTCTATAAAGGAAAAATATTACACATCTGGCCTTCACATCAAATAATTACACTGCAAAATCTCAACAATTGCAAAAATACCAATATTTTGCGCGGATCTTTCCTGTTAATTTGCAGCTGCTTCAGTTATGCATTTTGGTTTGTCACACAGGTAATTAATGTTGCAAATTATAAATTACAAACTTTATCTTTAGTATTAATATTTGCAAAATATTGGAAAAAAAAATTTACAGGTTAAATTATATAAGGTTTATCCTTCAAAATATTGGGGTACAGTGTGGACATGCTTTGTAGGATCTTTACAAACAGCCATGCTGGGAATTATAATGAACAGAAGAAAGGAGGCTTGGAGACTAAAATGGGACTTACAACTACTAACAATCATCTACTCTGTATGGCACAAATTTTATACTACTTTAGTTTTTTTTTAGAACAATTAAAGTTCTATTTGGCTACTGCTTTCTCGTTACTTTTTAAAAAAATTATATGCTAGGAACGAAACTGTTTTTTTTATAACAGTTTTATAAAATGTTGCAGCACTCCCAAACAAACCCTAAAAAATTATGATGAAAACAACTTAGGGTTTGTTTGGGTTGACTGCTGCAGCATTTTATAAAATTGGTTTTTGAAAAAATTTAACTGTTCTGGTTGCAAAAAATAAGCTCTATTAGGCTACTGCTTTCTCGCTACTTTTGAAAATTTTATATGCTGGGAAACTATTTTTTATAGCAGCTTTTAAGGATGTTATTTTCGCTACAACAAGTTAGGCAACCAACTTTATAAAATGTCGCAACGCTCCCCAAAAAAAAACCTAAATTTTTTCATGTGAAAACATCTTAGGGTTTGTTTGGGATGACTGTTGCAGCATTTTATAAAGTTGGTTGTGAAGTTGTTACCGAAAATTTTTAACTATTCTAGTTGCAAAAAACCAGTACTATTAGGCTACTGCTTTCTCCCTACTTTTGAAAATTTTATATGCTGGGAAACTATTTTTTATAGCAGCTTTTAAGAATGTTATTTTCGCTACAACAAGTTGGCAACCAGCTTTATAAAATATCGCAACGCTCAAAAAAAAAACCTAAATTTTTTCAAGAAAACATCTTAGGGTTTTGTTTGGGATGACTGTTGCAGCATTTTATAAAGTTGGTTGTGAAGTTGTTATTGGAAAATTTAACTATTCTAGTTGCAAAAAATCAGTACTATTAGGCTACTGTTTTCTCGCTACTTTTGGAAAATTTATATGCTAGGAAACTATTTTTTATAGCAGCTTTTAAGAATGTTATTTTCGCTACAACAAGTTAGGCAACCAACTTTATAAAATGTCGCAACGCTCCCACAAAAAAAACCTAAAATTTTTTCATGTGAAAACATCTTAAGATTTGTTTGGGATGACTGTTGCAGCATTTTATAAAGTTGGTCGTGAAGTTGTTGTAGGAAACATAATTTAACTATTCTGGTTGCAAAAAATTAGTTTTTCACCACAGAAATTTCTAAAAAATAAGTTGTTTGAAAACTAAAACAACGAGAAAGTTGTCCCAAACAGACTCTTATTGTATTTTAATTTTAATTTTAATTTTAATTTTATAGGTAGAAGGCTTATTATCTTATTGTTTTGAAATGATATAGGGAATACTAAATACAGGAGCTACATTTTGCTTGATCTCTTGGGCAGTTTCTCAAAGAGGTCCAACATACCCCCCTATGTTTAATCCTTTATCAGTAGTATTTACTACCATCTTGGAATCCTTTTTATTTGGCCAACAAATCTCAATTGGAAGGTCAGTATAATTTTATTTATTTATTTTTGTGGATTCATACTAAACTTATAATAAAAAAAATAGTTTAAAATGCTAATAATATTTTTTTTACTTATTAATGAAGCTTATTAGGGATGACAATGATATTTGGAGGGCTCTATGCTTTTCTTTGGGCAAAAAGAAAGGAAATTCTGATGAAAGGGAAAACAAGCGAGGGAGATGGATCAGTTGCTGTATTGCCTGTTTCAGATAAAGATTAATAAATTATGGGCTTTTAGGGATTTCTTTTTTGCTTTTATTTTTTTTTTAATTTATTGTTATTTATTTTGTTTTTCTTTTTATAAGAGGATCGAATTGGTTCCCTAACTTCTTCTGATTGATCAAAATAATTCTTGATTTGGTCACTTGACACTTTATGTTATCATTTAGTTTCATATTTAAGAAGTCAAGGGACTAAGGTTTCGTTTGGTATAATTTTTTTTTCGCTTTCTAAAACAACTTTTTTGTACACAAACTTTTTGAATTAGAAAATTTTATACTAGAAAAATGTTTTAGGAAGTATTACGAAAGCTGTCCCAAATGAAATCTAAAATGAGAATATTAGATAATATCGGGGATCATTTTGAACATTCGTAAAGAGTTAATGGACTGTTTTGGTCCCTATATTTTTTTATTTTATTTGTTATCTAATTAATATGAAATTAAAATAGTAAATATATTTTATTGGCATTTTCAATATTTTTAAATTAAATTATTGACTCTTAAAATGAAGCATATATAGAATAAATTCTAATAAAAAAATTCAAATAATAAACAACATAATATATATTTTTGGACATTTAGGTCAATTAAGGTAAACTCACACACACATTACATAAGCAAGACTTGAACCCAATACTTCTTGGTTGGTATCCAAAACTCTCAACCGAGCTTGTTCACGAACTTCAAATGATGTTGTTCGCGAACATAAATGAACCGAACGCATTAGTGTTCAAGTTTGTTTATTTAAGAATCTAGCATTTAAAATATTGTTCAAGTTTGTTTGTTTAGTTAATTAAACGATCACAAACGAGCTTTAATTGAACCGAATAACAAGTAGCTCGTCGAACGTTTGGTTCGCTTGCAGCCCTACTCACACAAACATCACATACGTAAAACTCAAACTCAAGAGCTATTAATTATTAGCCAAAGCTTCCAGCCAACAAAATAGTAAAAAGATTGAATGGAGTTGCTATATGACCCGTCGGGTATTGGCTTAAAATAACATATTCCAATACATCGATCCTTATATTCTACATACTTTAACCTTAATTCATTAGTTAATTAACTCATTTTATGACATGCTTGGTGATGTCTATATCGATTGAACCACCTTACCCTAGATTGCCTTAAATGGCCCCATCATTCTAATTATAATTCTAATATTGGGTTTTATGAGGGCTAAACCCTAATTCAACTCAATCCTAACACATATTGGTTCACCTAATAAGGCGTCCTATATGTAACTACCCAGAATTTTTAAATGGATTTATTTAGAAAATTTGAAAATTTTGAACTGTGGCATTACAACACTGTGATTTTGAGCGTTACGACTAAGAAGGTGCAACACAAGGGCACCGAAATTTAACGTGGTTGTGTCGATGCTATCTGTTTTATAGTAACTATAGATTGAACATATAACGCTGTGACACCGGGTTGGAGGGCCCCGATCTAGGTTCTATTTAGTGAAATGTTAAGTCATTTTTTAGTATATGTGTGAATTAAAAATCTATTTCTAATAAAATATTAAAATTTAAAAAATAAATATAATTAGAAAATAGGTAGATTTTAAAAGAAAAAAATTAATAAAATAAGTATAATTTAATTTCTTTATTATACACTAAAATTATAATTTAAAGTTGTAATTTTTAAAATAGAAAATAAGAATATTAATATAAATAATCAAAGAAATTTACAATAAATAAGCTAAAATCATTTTCTTGAACCATCCACTTTTCAAACGAGACCAAATCCCTATAAAAATGTTGGATGGTACTTCTTTTTGTTCTTGGCATCCATAGATTTCCCTCGCCCTCTCTCACTCTCGCTCGCTCTTTCGCACGATTCGGCAGATCGATTCGTTAAAGAGCATCGACTGGTTCTAGTGCTCATCCATGTCGTTCGGAATCGCCGGCGGATCCGGTGTCGTCGGTGAGACCATTGTTTCATTCTTTTGTTATTCTTTTCCTTGGTCAATTAGGGTTTCTGTTTTGTTCTGAAAGGGATCTTTCTTGTTAGATCTGTTGAAATATCTAATATGTTTATTTGCGGGATGGATGGGATTTTTGGTCGACATAGGTGAGGAGCGTCTGCCATTTGTGGTAGAAGTGTTGGCGCGCTTTCGGGTTATTGTTTTCGTGAAATTAAATTTCTGCGTAGGTTGCTATGATCTGGCTTGTGTTTTGCTTTGAATTTGTGTCGTATTGCATTAAATATTAGGGCCGTTGTTCCCCGCCTAGCTTAAGATGTGAAAGTTGGGCCAGGACATCCCTGGTAAAATAGTCAGGTTTTAAAACTCTTAGATGTGCTTTGAGTCGAGTCTAATACATGGATAATCAATCAACTGTTGTCATGTACCCATCTCAAAGTAAATTCAAGAGATTCAAACCCTTTTTGCCCTCACCTATTGTTTTCAACTTAATAAGTGGTAGAGCCGCTAATTTATTATAACTGAAAACTCGAGTGTTGTAGTTTGTTGCATCTATTGTTGATTTTAATGCTCAAGATGTGATTAGCTTTGCTTTATTGGATAAGGAGGTTGAGTTTTTTCTAGGTCTTCATGATTATGGTTCAAACTCATCGTAGCACAAAATTTGCTTAAAAAAATGCTATAGTTTGGGTGATAAATGGAGGAGGAGGTTGTTAGAGAGGGAAACAGCTTGATATGTTATTTTATAAGGCCTAATCTAATTAAAGCATCCTAAGTATTGTTTTCCTTTTTTTTTTTGGAAAAATCTTGGTATTCCTTTTAGTTCTGTTACTTTTTGGTTGCTTGAAATGCTTGAAGCCAAAAAAAGCTTTTGCCTATTGAATTATTATTTCTGGATGGTGCATAATTTTCTAAGTTTATATTAGGTTCAGGCTTGGCTATTTGGATACTCATGAATTGTCATATTATATGCTCCAAATTCTATCTATTTTAAAATTTAAATCCTAAAAGATTCTTAGTGGGTTGGACCACTATTTGGCGGGCGTGCTTATGATGTACTATATGATCTATCTTTGATAATGTTTTTTATTATATTTTTTAGTTTATGTTATTGTAAACTATTATTCAATATGGCTTTGCGTGCTTGAAGGCATGTGGCAGATTTCTTGCATGAAATTTATGCATGTTTATGTAAATGTCTCCATGCATGTTTACTTGCTAGCGTGCAGTTGATTAGTTTGGTTGGATTGACCTTGAAAGTAATTGAATTAGGTTGACCTCATACTCAAAGAATATTTGGTTTGTTAAGGTTTCAAATCATGAGTTCATGACCATATTATCAAATGTATTTATTTTCTTTTAGTTTTGGTTTGGACCAAAATCTAAATTTTCCAGATGTGGAAACTAGTTTGATTTCATATTTTGATTGATTGCCGTGGAAATAATTTATAGTTGTTGAATAGATCCAATGTGCTGCTACATGTTGGGATCTGATTGGAGCCATCGAAAGCAAGACCTTGTCCATGGAGGTCTTCTATATTGGTTTTTTGGAGGAACTCATCCATTAACTAAATTAAGTTCAGGTTTGATTTCCTCATAGTGGACTTGGGTGACTGTGCTGTAACTTTCATGCAACAGTGGATTCCAATGGTAATATTTGGTTGTAGAGATGTGGAAGCGCTTGTTGTACTTGCATGTAGAAGGTTCCACATAAAGGTTATTCCTTTTTTGTTCTCATATCAGTTCAACAAAAAATTGGGTCTTGAAGTTCTTTACATTGAAATGTCTCTTTTGGTGATCTTGTTCCTTGACCTTGAAGATTACCTCATATTTGGCATTAGTTATGTGCTTAACTTAATGTTATCTTCATCTCTTGTGATGAGGGAGTTGTGGAAGATTTTAATAAGGTTAGTATCAACTATGGCATCTTGTTGGATTGTGCTTCCTTCTTGTGGTTGCAGGTTATAGAAGTGGAAATAGGCATGTTGATTTGATAATGTTAAGGTTTGCCATGATGCTAAAGTTATATATAAATTGATAACTAATAGTTTTTAATGTAAGTTTTCCATCCTCATCATCAATCTTATACAATCTATTTTGGCTTGTTAGGATATTTGAGGAAATATTTTATTGTCATCATTATGTAATTATTGTAAATATTTAGTTTTCTACTTCACCCTCCTATATCGTTATTTTATTTACTACTTGAGTTTCTTTCCCTAATTTTTTAATAAGGTTAGTGTCAACTATGGCATCTTGTTGGATTGTGCTTCCTTCTTGGGGTTGCAGGTTATAGAAGTGGGAATAGGCATGTTGATTTGATAATGTTGAGGTTTGCCATGATGCTAAAGTTATATATAACTTGATAAGTAATAGTTTTTAATGTAAGTTTTCCATCCTCATCATCAATCTTATACAATCTATTTTGGCTTGTTAGGATATTGAGGAAATATTTTATTCTCATCATTATGTAATTATTGTAAATATTTAGTTTTCTACTTCAACCTCCTATATCGTTATTTTATTTACTACTTGAGTTTCTTGCTTATATTGTAATTCAGAAACTTCCATTTTTTTAACTCTTTGTTGAAATCACATCCGACACCACACTACTCGTCTTCATGGCCTCTTCACCCTCTTGGTTGCTCCCTTTTGCCCTAGGGCATGCGACCTCTCTTTATTTCCTCTCTTCCATACACGGCCATTACCGAGCACTATTTCCCAACCTCCACTCTCTCTCATACACAAGGCCAACTAACACACCTCTACCAAATGTTCGATCTCACACATCCTTGCCGCTTCACGCCCTCCTCCTTGTGTTGCCATTGTCGCCTATAAATCCATGCCACCATCCTTTTCTGGCAAATGATTTTTTGGGACATCTCATATTCTCTTGAAAGTTGCATATTGCATCCATTAAAGAGAATAAAACAATGCAAAGGCGTACAAACTAGTATCTCCTATTCAACCACTTCCCATGCTACTATCCAATAACACTTAAAACCTAATCATCGACTCATCACAATCAACCTATATAATATAACCAAACTCACCTTCATTAATTGCATTGCACGGAACCTTAAAGTTCATGTTCTTTTTGAAGGGTATGAGCTAGAAGGTTTCATTAGGTACTTATCCTTGTGACTCATCCATTGTCGTCATAAATGACACCATTTTCCCTAATTCTACTGACTACACATTGAAAACGTGAGGATTGCCTTCTCGTTAATCATATCTTTGGAGCATTCTTCCATCCATCCAACCTCTTCTCTGTTGTCTTCACCTCCCAAGAACTATGGATCATTCTTGTCGATGCACATGCCAAACCTCTTTGAGGCCCCCTCAAGCAAATCAAATAATAACTCGAACGCAATTTATTAAAACTTATGTCAATGAACTTTTGATTCTTGGTAAGTTCATTGATGAAGAAAATCTTATTGACAAGATTCTTGATGGCTTAAGTGCACAATTACCATCCAATCATTATGTTAATATTCTCTTGAGCCGGCGACCTCCTTAAATGATCTCCATGGAAAACTCAACAAAGAAGCATCCATACAACGCTCACAAGCATTGGTTCATCCCTTCCTGCCACCGCCAACCGCATTGCTTTCTGTAATGGGTTTTTTTGTTAAACATGAATGGTTAATGAACATTTGTGTCCATTTATAGTTCCTCGGAACTTCAGGCTGCTTGATGAGCTTGAGCGAGGAGAGAAAGGTATAGGCGACGGGACTGTTAGCTATGGGATGGAGGATGCAGATGACATCTACATGCGCTCCTGGAGTGGGACTATAATTGGTCCTCACAATGTATTATTGTATTTTCTTTATTAATATATAACAGCTCTTTTTTTGCATGTTGTGTAAAATATCTCATGAAATTGTAATTGCAGTCGGTTCATGAAGGGAGGATTCATCAATTGAAGTTGTTTTGCGACAAAGAGTATCCAGCCAAACCACCAACTGTGCGCTTCCACTCTCGAATAAATATGGCTTGTGTTAACCCTGATACAGGACTGGTATCCTCTTCTCTCTTTTCCTAAGGTCTTATTTGTGTAAGGCAACTAAACCTATAAAGAAGTATTGTTAAGTGCAAATGCAGGTAGACCCAAAGAAATTCAGCAAGCTGGCAAACTGGCACATTGAGTCCACAATGGAGCACATTCTGACTCAATTGAAGAAGGAAATGGCTGCACCATATAAAAGGAAACTTCCCCAATCTCCTGAAGGTTCCTTCTTCTGAACAAGGTAAGGTTAAATTGCACGACCAGCCGCTTTAAATTATTACCATTTGTGGGATTACTGATCTCTTGCTGTGAAACAGTGAGGCAATTTATTTGGGGGATATGTCCTTGGGAATGATTATTATTAGTCTTTGGGGGTAAATTATTTGTGGAACAGTCGGATACTTTGAAATTTTGGACAGGATGAGTAGTTGTTTATAGTCATATAAATTATTTTATATTCATCTTAAAATAAAAGATGATTACAAAATCATTCTATTCAAATTTTAAGTCAATATTTTTTTATCCAAAATTTATCCTGAAGATTTCGATAAAGTTTTATAGAGTTAAAAATTTAGAGGCACCCACTGAACCTTAGCTTGATTGGGAATTCTGCCTTTCGAATTCGATTCCCTTGAGCGGCAATCCAAATTCAATTCCCTCGAGCGGCAATAGCTTCTTAAGTGAGACTTCAAAGCGCGGGTTGCGAATACAGTGACATGGGTGAATTGGTAGGTCAATAAGTCAATTGGGGTTTACGAACTGTCAAGTCAACGGATGGTTCCTCATCTCAAAAACAAAAGAAAAAGAAAAAAAAAGTTTCTAGGCTAATTGTTCCTTTGGCATTTAATCAGATGATATATATATATATATATATATATATATTATTTGCTCTTCCTTATTAATTGAATTTGGTATTTGAGAAAAAAGTTTTATCTATTATAAAAGAGAACAAATAAAATTTTCTAATTAAATGCGTACCATTTAATTTTGGTGCCCGAATTTAATCATGAATGTTATTTTTATAATTTGTTTTTTTATTAATTTGAATTTGGTATGAGAAAAGTTTTTCCTTTATAAAGACAACAAATAATATATCTAAAGGAGAATGATTTTCTTTAAAGTTTTCTTTAAATATGAGAGAATATATTTCATTATTTTGTAATCCCACGCTTACCCTTATTATTATTTTTCTCAAAGAAAAATATAGTTATCAGAATATTTTGATATTTTTTTATGACTTTAGAATAGTTACACGCAACATTAATTACGTGTAAAAAAATCTTATTAATTTGATTTTTTAACTATATAATTAAATCATATTAATATATCCGACGTAGAGCTATTACGCTATGTTGAAATGACAAATTATATATATATATATATATTATATATATATATATATATATATATATATATTAAAGGATTTATAAGCTGCATTTAAAAAAAAAACTATAAAAACACTATCCTATTAAAGGAAGTAAAGATCTAAAGGAGATGTAGCAGGTGGCCGACGTTAAGTAAGGCCAAAACAATAATATTATCAACGTAAAAGGCTAAGAAAAAATCATACAGATAACCAAAATAAAGTATGATAATCTTATTGACTCCCATTGCTGAAGATTTTACTCTTCTTTACAAGGTTGCAAATTCCATTCCATATAATTAGAGAAGAGAATTTCGCTCTTTACAAACCAAAACAAAAGCAGGAACCAAGATAAAACAAGAGTAGATATAAAGGCATCTAGAAAGGAGTATACACTACACTGCTTAGAGCTTCTACATCACTGACCTGAGCTAACCACAAATACAATAATAATAGAATAATGCAGGACGAATAATAAAATCCTGATGCACGGCAAGCAAGCGACAGTTTAGCTTAAATTTTTAACCAGTATGTTCAACTAAGCCATTTTTCAGGACGAAACTTTTCCTTGTAGACGAATTCTCTTGTTGCTGGTTTCATCGTTAGCTGAGCTCTTATGAACCTCAACTTCTGCTGAGCACCTTTTGTAAGGTTTAAAACCAGTTCTCCCAACCTTAAGGTTTCCTTGTTTAATTTCATTCGGAAGGCAACAGTTTTGGTTGCAGGTTTCTTCCCTTCGAATTGGTATGTTCTCCTTAGGCATTCCCTAAAGTTTCAGGCAATAATATTTCATAATTTGTATGTACCAATGGATCAAACAAATCAGGTCCTTAATATTTCATAATATTGTCTGCTTTTGCTTGTGTTGTTATATGCATTTTTTTTGTGTGGGGGCATTTAGGCCAATTAAGACAAATTCACACACATATCATATAAGCAAGCTTCTAATCCAATATCTCTTAGTTGATAGTCAAAGCTCTCAACTAACAGATGAAGGTGGTCTATGTGTAAGAATACTTGATATTTATTATTAATTTTCAAACACTTTGCAACTTTATCCAGCTGGACTTTAGTTTTAAATAATATACCAACAAAAATTATGAGAGAAGGACAATATTTCAGTGCTTACCATTTCAGATTTGTGAAGTTGAGTTGCAAAAGACTGCGGCAGGATATCTCTGGTGAAGAGCGCTTCGAAAGCTAGTCGACCCTGTCAAAGAGAAGATTGGAGAAATAGTGGAGCATTTTTTTCTAAAATGATGCAAAGTGACAAAACAGAAAGAACTTTCGAATGATGACCTCTTGGGAAACCTCTTTCCAGGTTTCATTAAAGCACAAACTACTTCGAGCTCGGCGATTGTTGACCTCTCCAGCTGCAAGATTTTGGAAATGTGCTTGGTTACCTTCTTCATCCTTAGTTTCGCCATTTTTCTTAAGGACGGCATCCGTTTCAATTTCGCTGCTTGAAGTTGTGTTGGAGCCACAAGACGAACGTTCGGGTTTGCTGACCTTTGCCCTGTCTAAATTACGACAAGCAACATCAACATCAGATGATGCTTTGAAATTATTAGAGAATTTTTGTTCGCCCTCCTCCAACTGTGATGAAGAAGATGATGATAAAACAGCTTGTTGATTAGCACTAGCTGAATTTTGACATTCTTCTTGCTTCTCCTTCATTTTTTCTTGAGGAGCCTGGGCTGTGTTCACCACAGGAAATGAAATGGCTGGTGGAGAACATGCAAATCCTGAAGCATGGATGGGAGGAAAAAATAGGAAGGGTCCGTTAGTCGTCCACCATGCTGATGCGGCCGCAACGGTCGCAGCCGCAATTGCTGCCATACTGGAAGAATCCACTTCTTCAGATGGGCAGAGTGATGCTGCTGCTGTACATGCCGCCGCATGAACTGTTGGATTTTGCTGCAAAGTTGAAATGATTTGACTAGAAAAAGCAGATGAGAAACCCAGGAATGATCTGTAGAAATCTTGAGCAAATGGTGGGAAGGTCGGAAAAGGATGAGAAATGAAGGACATTGCAGAACTGGTGACGAATGCAGGGGCAGGAACTGCTGGAATTGTGTGGTTCATAAATGCACAAGAGGGGGACCCTCCATTCTCAATACAGGTTGTCTGTATCCCCTTAGCTTCTTGACCTTCATGGTACTGAACGCCTTGCTTATGGTCACTTTCTGATTGTTTCTCCGCCTGCTTATGAGCACCAGAACCTGCCGATAATTCATGTAGTTCTATGTTGATTCCACTTGTCCTTCCTGGAGCCTTATCGGATTTAGTCACTTCGTTCAATGATGATTCCAGATTTACTTCAATTGTTAATGAAGATCCTTTCAAGGAAGGCGGCTCTTTTGGTTCTGTGGCCATGGGAACATACTGGCTGAAACTGAATTTCTTTTTGGAGCCCTTGTCCCTAGACGGGATGGAAGCAGATGGAGCATCTTGGAAAAGATTAAGAACTACTGAACAATGAGTCTCATCAGAACATTCTTCTGTTTCTTGGACTGATTTAGCTGCAAGAGATGCCTGATAAAAAAATTTGAGACTGTAGAAGCAAAAGAGAAGAGGAAGAAGAACTAACTGATCATGCAGAAATAATGGCAGAAGAAAACATGTACCTCTTGTTTATTTATTTCCTGGGACAGGGGATTCGAAGTTTTTAGGGTTTTCTTATTAGCTGCTTCAGTGGTAGCAGAGATAGAAGAGGAACCAGTTTTTCGAGGGTATGGATAGTTTGGCTTTTTCTTAGGCCGTGGCGGGGGTATATCTATATCACGAGCTTGTCCCAAAGGAGTACCTGTCGCAACTGCTTCTTTCTCCAACTGCTTTTGAAATGTCAATTAGTAGCCATGAAATGCACTCATCTCTGACTAATAAAGAATAGAACAAAAATTCTGAAAATGGAAATGTTCTAATGCGTAAAAGATTTCTTTTCAGTAGCAGCAATAAAAAAATCAAGTCAGACGTCAATTATCTTTTCACTAGCACCTGGATACATATCACTTTATCCTACTATATTTACATATCTAAAATCTAAAATTTTAATATTACATATATACCACCTTATATTATTTTAATATCAAATATGTCACTCATATTTCATTTCCATCACCCATATACTTCATTCATACCACCCATATTTGATATGAAAGTGAACTATGGATGGTATGTATGCAATATTAAAATGTTAGGTGTTAGATATATAAATATAGTATATAGTGGTATATGTATGCAAATCTCCCTAAAATCTAAGCAAGTCATTTATCCAATAAATATGATAGCTATCTATAATAAATTCGACAGAATCAGTCTAGCATTTTTTTTAAACAGAATGAACCAGCCTCCTGTGAATAAGAAAGGCCCCTCCAAAAGCACGCGAAAACCCCAACCAGCCACCCTCCTTCCCCAATGGCACAAATCACGCAATTTGGCCTCTTCTCACGTGATATGCCTATTCCACCACTATCATTACTTGAAAACGCCTGCCCGACGCCACCATGCTTGCGATATAAGTAGGACCTAAGTCATCGTTCTTCTTTTAAACCTCCTCCCTTTGGCAGCAGCCAAATCTCTCCCTTCTCCTCTCTCTTCGTTTCTTTCTCTCACAGCCGCCACCAATGAAGTTTCTTGGCTTTCATTCTCCTTGACCCTTCCCTTTCACAACTGCGGAACATGTTCCTCCCAAAACTCTATGCAACGATTTGGTCCAACGTGGCATTAGAAAGCCACCTTTCCCCCTTTCTTCTTCTTGTCTTTTTACTCTTCTTCATCATTGTTATCTTCGCAAGCTACTCACAATAATAGTTTAGTTTATCCTATGTTTATGTTTTCATGTAACTATGCATTTATGTATATATTTGTGTTAGATTGTAGGATTAGATTATTAGAGAGATGTTACTCCACAATCCACATTAATGTTAATTCATTCAACATATTTTTGTGGTGGCCTCGGTTTATTAAGTTAAGACTAATTTCATAATTAGCCAATTTTATACATTTTAATGTGTCCTTGTAAGTTACTCAAAGTTTGCATTGTTTAGGAACTTCAAGTCAATACCATCAGGCATTGCCTCTTTGGATTCTTTTGAGAGAGCATAGGTTTGAGAGTTATAACTCGTAGCAAGCAGCTATTATTTATTATGAGATAAAAATACTCTTCTTTGTTAGAAGCTTAATGTTGGGTAGGTCTACTAGTAGTATCACATCGTAACCAATGCTTGATAACTCTTTCTCATAATTTTAATGTATTAAACCTTAAATTAATTCCTCTATAATTCACACACTTTTGTGCTTCACCTTTATTTTTAAAAATATGAACCAATATACTACTTCTCCACTCATCGGACATCTTTATAGTCTTCAAAATAATATTAAAAAATTTAGTAATCCAAAACATTCCTTCATCTCCTAAAAATTTTCACACTTTTATTGAAATATCATCAGGTCTAAGTGCTTTTCAACACTTATTTTCTTTAAAGCCTATATAACTTTGGTTTTACTAATAGGACGATAATAATTAAAATCTCTATTTTTATTTAGAATACTAAGATTACTAAAGTTAATTATATTCTCACAATTTCATTGAAAAGTTTATCAAAATATCACATCCACCTATATTGAATATCCTCTTCTAATAGAAATATTTTTGAATATTTCATTTTTAGTGCACTTCACTTGAACTAGATATCCACTTCTAGTTTCGAAGTAATGATAAATAATCAGTATCATAGATAAATTTACCATGATTAGTTATTGAACAAACTTTTGTATGTTGATCCCTATAATATATCTATTTTCATGTATGTTTATTGAATGCAATGGATGTTATTTTTGAAAAACATAAATTATTATAAAATAAAAATCATCATATTGAATATATAATATCTTGAAAACTTGCCTATTATAACATATAAATTGTATGTTTGTATGTAGTTCAATAGAGCCCTTTTGAATAATGAATAGCCGAGTTGATGGGCCCACAAAGTGATAACAACAACAGAGTGACCACTTTATAAAATTATTGAATTTCCTTGGGTTGGTGTTTATCTTTCCGATGTAGGACATTTGACAAAACAGACACACACACACATATATACATGAGCTAAAAATTAATGATGAGTACATTATATTGAGTTAGTATGATTTTATATGAATACATTCGAATGAAATTACATTAGTGACAGTTTGACATATATATTTGTAATATCATCATACTAGAATATTTTATAGGAACTTTGACATGTTATATTTTTGCATTGATATGTTGATTATCTCTTACTATGCAGTTACTCTTGCCATTTTGTAGTTGTTCATGTTGCATTCTTATTTCCTTAACGTTTATGCTTTAATAGATACGAGTTATTTATTTGGTTTGAATTCTTAAATTTGCTTTTTAACTTTTCTGATAATAAGTTTTATCAGAGTGTTAGGTGGACCATCACAAAAGGAGCAGAGCTATTAATAATAGGATATTATATATATACATATATATAGAGAGAGACTATTTTGTGTTTTATAAGTCATTCATATTTTTTTAGGGTTTGGTTGTTTTATCTATGCAATTATTTCATTAAGTTCTCTTCTTACATGTAGTTGTTCCTACTTTGTTAATGTACTGCCATTTGAATTTATAATAATGAATAAAACCTTAATTTATCTTCCATTGTTTGCTCTAACATATTTTGTATGTGAACTTTTATTTTTGTGAGTACAAAACAGATCATATATCCCCTCATAACATCCCATGTTGTTGGGGTGTACCACTATCAATCTCGTATTGTGACACTTTCACAAATTATAATGCTTCATTTTACCTTGTTAAGTCTAGTAATAATGGAAGTGAGCATATGCATGAAGAAAAGATAATAATTATTACATGTGATTTAAATATACATCATTTCTAGCATGAAAGGCTATTAGAAAATCAATAAAAGATAGAAATATACAACAACAACAAGCATTTATCCCACTATGTGGGATCAGCTATATAAATCATTTTTTCTCCATTGTGTCCGGTTAAGAGTCAAATTATCATCTAAATCTAATAAATAAATATCATTTCTAATATATTCTAACCAAGTCGTTTTAGGTCTACCTCTACCTTTCTTAACATAAGTCAAATCTAATACATCCACTTTCCTAACCGAATTATCAGAAGGCCGTCATTTTATGTGGCCAAGCCATCTAAGGCGACTCTCTCTAATTTTATCTTCCACTGGAGCTACTCTAACCTTTTCACGTATATGCTCATTTCGTATCCTAACTCTAAGAGTAAAGACACTCATCCACCTGAGCCTCCTCATCTCAGAAACACTTAACTTGTCCTTCAAACACTCATAATATTAATAATCTTAACATCAACAATAATCTTTAAAGTTGTAATTGTATTTTCAATTATATTAATTTTTACAATATTGTCCTTCAAACTCTTATTTATAATCATACCTATACCATTTCTAGTACGACTCCTACCATAATATCATAGTTTAAATTCTAATCTATTAATCTCCTTAGCCTTCTCTCTAACTCATTTAGTTTTTTGAATGTATAGAATATTTATCTTCCTATGAAGATAATATCTATTAATTTTATTAATTTGTCTATGAAACCTATATTCCAAGTTCTTATTCTAAATTTAGTTTCACGGACTACTTTGCCCACATCCATCCATAATGCTGGAACCCTTGCCTATTGAACAATGCACACGGGCGCCAATGCAACAACCCTTACTCATTTGTTGTTGCATTCAATCAATACAACACATTGCTTACAAGGAATACCCTAGCATTAACAAAATGTATTAAAAGATTCATATCGTAATTATTCGATAAGTTTTACACTGGCTGTTGACTACCTAACGTAACCCTCCTCTTTTCTAATCTAGGACTTGAAACCTGACAACGGTATTATTAAATATGATGGTAAAAATTAGGTTTGATTTTATGGTATCATAAACCTTGCTATAGAATAAATACTTTCAAAAATAGGAAGATGGCTAAATTACTTTCAAAAGTAGAGCTGATTTCAAGAGAAAAGCTGATCGTTTGGATGTGTATCTTAAGCTATGAAAAAGATTAAAAAAAAATATTTCCCAATGATAAGATGATAAAGCTTGAAAGGTCTAAAGTGATTAATCTTTCAAAATAATTTGCAAGGAGAGAAAAATTAGAAGTTTTTAGTGAGTTAGACTTGATTTGGCAAAAGGTGATTAATTTCATTAAACTAAATTCTAGAAGTTTTAGGTCAGTCTAGAAATAATCTAGCAAGAAGATTTAGTTGTGTAAGGGAGTATAAAATATTATTAAAAAAAAGAATGCCTAAAAGTAGCAAAATAATAATAATATTGAAGTTTAATATGTTTATAAGAAAGTTAGAAATCTTACAAATAGAATAAAAAACAAAAGGTATAAATATTCATGATATATATAATTTAAGTTTGGTACTACGAGGAAGAAAATGAGATTTATAAACTATCCAAGTAAAGACAAGTATCTATAGAGTTTGAGCATGTTAGATGAATTAGAAGCAAAGATAGTAAAATCTTTGTTAAAGATTATAACAAAGAAAGATTAAAATGCAATTCTAAGAAATAATTAAATGCAAGTTTTAAAGAAGAGCTCAGTTCGGAGGAGAATTATAAATAAAATAAAAACATATTATAAAATGAGCTAAAAAAAAAAGAAGTTAAATTAGCTCTAAAGAAGATGCATAAGTAACAATTAAGGTCAATATGAGATATAATTGATCTTTAAAGAGGTATGAGTGATATTGAAGTAATTTGGTTGATAAAATATTTCAAAAAAAAATTGAAAACAAAAGAATATCAAAATATTTGGAGAAAAAAATCTTTAAGTACTAATATTTTAAAAAATAAATGTACGTAATTATGTTTACTTCAAAGGAATCAAACTAATGAGTGTTAAAATAAATATATGATAGAGAGCAATGGAATATAAACTTAGAAAACTTCACTAATATTAGACAATCAAATTGGTTTCATACCAAGAAGATCTACCATAAAAGTTATTTTTTATACTATGAAAATTAATACAATAGTATAAAACCAAAATCTACAGTGCTTGCTTCAACCTGAAATTTTTACAATCAAATCAATAAATGATCGATTGTGGCTAAACCAACGTATTTCTATAGAATTTCATGTCTAGCTTGTCTCGCATGAGTTGCAAAAAAGAATCAATGCACTACAACCTTTCCTGTTGTTATTGTTTACACACAAGTTATTTGAGTATTATATGCAACCCTCTTGAATTTCTTCCTTTCTTGCAGGTGGCTAATACTAAAGACAACATCCTGTTACCCTCTATTTAGAGGTGTCGGTATGTTGGCAACCTTGAAGTAGCGTGACAATCCTACTTACTGCTGTTATTAACAACAAAGTCATTGCTAAGTTTAGTTTGGTATAGTCCTTGATAGTAAGCATTCAACCCCAACAACCCGGATCAAGTATCAATACAGAGAGGCATAACTTGTTGGATCAATGAACACAAAGGTCTTTTTTTGTTGGCTCACTTGCATTCTTTTGTATTTTACTTTGAAAGGTTATTATTTTGTTCATTTTTTGTTGAGCATTTCTTATGCCTATACCACAAGCAGTTAAAAGGCAACAATGATATCAAATTGTTGTATGGTAAATAGATGAAGATATTGAATACATCGACGACACTTAAATCACAAAACAAAAAACCACTATCTATATATGGATCAAAAATCAACGGAGGAAGGCAAAATTTTAGCTAGATCAAAGATGGCATGGATATAGAGGTCCTTCTTTCTTAGTCAAATAAAAAATCAATGAAAAGCAAGCTGTTTAAAGATCAATGGACGCAAAGCATTATTTTTATCCCAATTACATGACAGATGTGAAGGACGTGGTTTGCAAGAATATACCAATGCTTTGAAGCCGCTAAACTCGATGTAGTCTGATGCAAGGAGTAGGGCTGCAAGTGAACCAAACGTTCGACGAGCAACTCGTTGTTCGGTTCGATTAAAGCTCGTTCGTGATCGTTTAATTAACTAAACAAACAAATTTGAACAATATTTTAAATACTCGATTCTTAAATAAACAAGCTTGAACACTAATGCGTTTGGCTCATTTATGTTCGCGAACAACATCATTTAAAGTTCGTGAACAAGCTCGACATTAAGCTCGATAAGAAGCTCGATTCGTGTTCGATAGTGAACTTGTGAATAAGCTTGATAAAAATAATTAATATTTGATTATAGAATTAATAAATATAAATAGAGCTCGACATTAAGTTCGTGAACATGCTCGATGTAATTGTTTGTTAGGAAGCTCGATAAAGCTCGTTTGTTAAGTTAATGAACATCTAAAAATAGAGCTCGTTTATAACTCGTTCATGTTTGTTTGTTTAAAGCTCCATAAACACTAAACGAACGAACACGAACCGAACATGAACACTCATTAATTTAAATGAACCAAACATGAACACAAACAGTAAAGCTCGAACAAACATGAACTAAACTTGAACAACCTGATATTAAATGAACACAAACATAAACACTCACATACTTAGCTCGACTCGGTTTGTTTGCAGCCCTGGCAAGGAGATCAAACTAGACGTTGTTAAAAAAAAAAAAAATAACTTGAACTCAAATTCTTGAAGCATAAGGAAGTCTAGTGCCAAAGGATAGGGGTGTCAATATTTGACATGGCCCAAAAACCCGACTCGAACTCGACCAAAAAATTTCGGGTTAGGGTCAACCCGGACCCGAACTAGTTCGGGTTCAACAAATCGGTCCATTTTAAAAATTGGGTCAGGTTGACCCAATAACCCGAAATTGACTCATTTTTTTACCCAAAAGTCGTAGATTGACCCGTTTTTTATCCGAAAATCATCAATCTTTGGTTGGTCTCGGGTCATGTCGGGTTGACTCAGACTCGAAGCAGGTCGGGTTCGAGTCAGAAAAACCGACCCGTTTGCAAAAACGGATCGGGTTGACCCAAATAGTGTCGGGTCAATTCCGGGTACAACCCAAAGCCGACCCGTTACCCGAAATTGAAACCACTACCAAAGGAGTTAGGTGTTCGAGGGGGCGTTGTGATTATGCAGGGGAAAACATAAAAGTGGAAGGTAGTCATGGGAGATAGGCGCAAGAAGGAAAGTAAATTATAAGAGACATAGGTAAGATGGTGAGTGTAACTGTATGGGAAGGGTGTTGGGAGGTTTTCGTGTACGTGTGATTGCAAGAGAAGAAAGTTGGGCGGCTTTCAAGAACACGCTGATAGGAAATACTTGAGTTTGCAAGCAAACCTAATAATAATTGGTGAAAACAGCGAGAAATTTACTGATTTCAGAGAGAAATCAGTAATACGATGCAGAAATTTTAGAAAATTGGAGGGAACACAAGGAAACATCTTCTATTCAATCCATGAACAAGAAAAATAATACAAGATACAAGTTTCTTCAATTTGAGGGGAAGAAACAACTCTCTAAATCTCTAGCAAAGCCTAGAGCCCAAAAGAACAAATCCTAAATCTCAAATTTCTTCTCCAATTCAAGATGAAACCCTAATCCTCCCAAGGGAACTAATTAAAACAAAAGGGACAAATACAAAATCCCTAAACAACCCCTAATTCAAATTTCCCTCCCAAAGTAACGTTTAATTAAGTTGTGGACCCCATCTCTCGAACCGGCCTCTCTCTCTCTTCACATTAGTTCTGTCAATGCATCCAGTAGCAAAGAAATGTTCCAGGTTGGACTGGTTCAGCTAGCCCTATGGTCGGCCTAACATTACCCCCCTCCCAAAGACTCACCTTGTCCTCAAGGTGAAATGAAGGAAATGATCTTTCACCCTCTCATAGGGCTCCCAAGTGGCATCAAAATTGGGCAGGTCTCTCCATCTAATAAGCACTGAGTTTAGGAATACTTATGCCACATCTAGATGCAACTTCTCCTCTTCCTCCATCTCTAACCCACTCCCACCTCTCTCTCAGTTTCCTCGTCATCACAGATGATAAGAACCTGAAGAGTTTGATCCTTACACCTATGCCACAGCATATACTTCTCATCATATCTAAAACACAACCCCTTTGCACTCTTCTCAAGTATCTCCTTCTCAATCAGCCCTTTGAAATTTCTCCCATTTTCCCCTCCAGCTCTCTCCTTGGACACTTCTTTCAAACTCCCTGGTGCTGGCCCCTTGGGAGCTAAGAAGGTGGTGGTCATCTTGTATGATCCCCCCCGAGTTGCTCCCCCTAGCCGCTCTCTCAAGTTGCTTCTGATCCTCCACCAACTGTGCTAGCTCCATGGCCTCCCCAAGGTCTCTTGGCCTCATCACCCTAATCGCTGCTCGTATATCTAGTTTAAGCCCCTTCATAAAGTTCCCCTTTAACACTATCTCAGAGAGCCAGTCTAATCTGTTGGCCAAGTACTCGAACCTGTCATTGTAATCTACCACAGTCCCTCTATGTTAAGGCAAAGAATTGCTCATAGAAGTCTCCTGCCCTATAGATTTGAAAACGTTCTAGTAAGCACTCTTTAAACTCCCTCCATCTCTATATGGGTTGCCTCATGTCACGCCATTGGTACCATGCTAGTACCTTTCCCTCCAAACAAAGTCCTGCCGCCGTCAGCTTCTCTTCCTCCATCAACCTATTGACGATGACATATTGTTCCACCTTGTAGATCCAGTCATGGCCATCCTCGACCTCAAAGAAGGGCATCTTCAGCTTCCTCACCTTTGGGTCGCCCTTGAACCCTCCATAACCTCCCATTCCTCGAAGAGGAGTTGCTCCCCAATTGTCACGATCTTCCCTTCAGCGATCATACCCAACCCCTTCATCAAATTCCCCTCTTCTTTCAAATTCAGCACCTCTACGGTAGAATTTCTCCCTCCTCCCTACAAATCAGCAGCCCTTCTTTTGAAACCAGTGCTCATCTCTGTCACGACCCGACCCGATCCGGGACGGATCCCGCTCGCACCGGGTCGCGACTGGAACGAACAAACTGACTGATCAGGATCTGGCTTTGAAATTTGCTTCGGAACTGATTCTTCCAAATAATTCAACTCAAAAACAGACACACAGAGCTACTATGAAACATTAAATGCAGCGGAATAAAACATCTTTTTTTTTCTTTTCCTCAAAACAATCATCTACAACTACAGACCATGGCTCAGACAGAAAGAAACAGAGCAGAAGAGCCATATCTGTACAAAAATAAAAAGTACAAAATAATACCTACGGATCAGAATCTGAAATCTATTCTTGGACCTTCCCTTTCCCAGAACCTGAAAACCACCACAAAACAAGAGTGAGCTCAACAGCTCAGCAAAGCGATAAACCTCTAATCAAAACTTCCAGAATCCAAAACCAAACACATCAGACCAAAATCCAATCAGAAATCGAAACAGAATCGTATATCGAATTAGAACAGAATCAAATCAAAACTTATACAGACATATATCAAATCAGAATCAGAGTCGTACGGATCAGATCAAATCAGAATACAAATCAGAACATATTAAATCAACAGAATCAGAATCGTACAGAAATCAGAAATTCAGATCATATCGGAACAGAACAGAATCGTGTCAGAATCGTACAGAAATCATATCATACAGATCAGATCAATTCATATCGTACGGAAATCAGAATCAGATTTGCTTACAGAACAGATACGAAAATCAGAATCATATCAAATCAGATATCAGATATTATTTAATTCATAGCTAAATGCCCTGACACTGACGGAATCTCTACGGATTCCGGCCCCTTATGCCTCCCTTCCCAGACACTGATAGAATCTCTCGGATTCTGGCCCCTTATGCCTCCCTTT